ATTCAACCAATAAGGAAAGAGATTGGGTAAACAATCAAAATTTGACAAAGTAAACAACCAATGACAACCAGTATAACCAGGAATATGAGGTAAAGTAACTTCAATCGTATCACTTCTCTTTTGTCATAAAATATCAATGAAGAAGAGACTTAGGGGATAAGAAGAAACTCTATTCCTTTTTTACAGCTTAAATGAAAGGGATTTTATTGCATTATTTCATGACTGAACAGTAAAAGAAAAAATATTCCCTTGTAGTAGTCGTTTAAAGTTTATGTTATACACACACAAATATTCTTCGTCCAACTCATCTTGATCTACAGGGCTGCTTTACTTCATACCTGACATTATCAATAATAAATGGTAGCACAAAACCGGAGATTATTTATTTATAATAAATTTTAAAAGTAAGTTAATCTGATCGAAAGTATTTTGATTTCTATGAACGACTTTATTACTTGTTCTTACTAAACACGTTAAATACTACACCTTGTTAGTTTTAGTAAGAAGGGAAGCTGTTGTATTAATAAGGCTGATTTACAAGGGTTCAAAGCAAGCATATTTAGTGTGCTCCTTATAAAGTTGAATAAATATTACTGTCTGGGTGTTTTTATTCGCAGTTTGCGCACATCTGTGTCCACCATCCCACTTTCAACCTCACTGAATTGGATTTTTCGTTTGAGTTAATGAGTGCTTTGTCGATAAAATATCTTAAATCTGTGTCAGTACAACATTCGAATAAATATTATTCTGCTAAATGCAAATACTCGCATTCAACTGGTGCACACTATTTACTCTCTATAAAACAATTGCACCATGAGAACAGTTTTTAAATGTTCCCTCTGTTTTTGTACGCCTGTATTTTAACAGGCCTTCTTATGATTAATGCGTGTAGGACACGTTATGTATGATGATAAGAAGTCGGTTAAGAGTAAAGTTTTATTTTTCAGAATCACTAGATCTTATGTCAATCTAAGTCTAGTCCCTCTGTGATGAATAACTGAACCTGTTTCGGAATCCTTGAGTCTATCACGTAATTGTTCAGTCAATCAAGGATAGTAATGTTAATAATAATTATTATTATTTTGTGCATCTAATGATCACAGTAACCGCCTATGGTAACCAAAAACGACCTGTTTGAGTTTTCCCACCAACTATAAACAGTTGTTGTTTGAATAAACTTTTAAAAACTGTCCAAAAATTTTCATTCAGTCACCTATTGGACATTATTTTTGTTTTTCTGCCATGAATGTGAACAACTTTCTTCTGACAACTTCGCCATTTTGTGCTTCGCTTCGGTTTATTATACACATCAGTAGTTTTTCTCAGAATCAACTTTTATAACTTTCTGATACCTGCGTAGTATATATTTTATTATCAACCGTTACTGTATTTTAACGCCAATCTGGTAGAATTTTTAGAATTTTATTTTTCATTATTTACACGCTTTGTACTAAAAGTGGCCATTCGAACAGTATGTAGATAAAAAATGTGGTTTTCTTTTAGTAAAGTTACACCTCTCACGGAGATTAGAAATAGCTTACCACGCTGTTATGATCTAATTCACAGTTAGCGGAAATTCTGAGGTGCCTACTTAGCAGCAACTTCTGAGTATATATATATATATATATATATACTCAATAATAAAGTGTTCAACAGCAAACTGTTGCTTTACACACGAAACTTGAACTGCATGTACATAAACAGTTTGTCAGATTACTTTCACTAAAGTGGCCTTAAACTTCCTTCCTTTTCTTTCCCTTCAACTTGTACAAAAGTTGTTCAAAGTTGAATACTTTCAAACATTGGCACCAGAACTATTATTTCAAAATTCATATGCCACCTGCTTTACATAAAGTTCATGCATTTAGCCTTCTAGAGAAAAATAAATAAGCCTTTTTTGTATACTGTGTACAACAAAACAGACTCATATAACACTTATGGAAGTATTCGATCACAGTTCGTGTAATATTATTTCTTTTGTTTTGACGATGATTCATGACACAGACGTGACCAGCCAAGAATTTTAAAGAATACATCTTTTTTGTTTTAATTTTGATTATTTTCCTGAAGTTCGAACCAGTTTGCCGAATTAAAACTTGGGATTATTCAATTCACTTACTATAGCACTGACAGATTACATATCCTTTATGAATAATCCTCGTCCAGACATTAGTGAAAAAAACAACAACACGTAATTCAGCAAAGAGTCCCTTGTCGGCTAATTTATTCAATCAGCTGTACAACTGCAATTATATATTACTTATTTTTGTATGTGTTTGTTCATAAGGTTTATCTGATAAGAATAAAACTAAGTTAGGGTTATTGTTGTCAATACATTTCAAAATTGTGGTGAGTAACCAAACTGTAACTAGGGTGAAGCTGGAGATTGGTAAGAGAGTAGTGGTCATGCGTTATCAAAAAAATATTTACTGGCGTTAATAAATGCACAAAAGAAGTTATATTAGCGCAATACGGTTAGGTAATAAGATGAATAGTTTAATGAGTGAGTTACGATTGGGATGCACATAGAAACAGGGTGAACTGGGGAAGTATGTAAGAGTTCACAAAGTTATGAATTTTATCAAGAGTTAGAAAAAACAAGCATATAAACACCAACTCATTAGAAGTCAACACGGTTGTTGCCATGATAGTAGATTACATTTCAAATAAATTAGCACGAAAGGGATAATATGTGATCTGATAGTATGTAATCTTGTGGTTCTCTAACTGATGTCAGCTCATGATGAAATATTCCATGCAATTAAACGAAATCCCTACAAAAACCAATACTTGAAAATTTAATCTGATGCTCACTAGTGACTGGACCTATTCAGGCAGTGATCCAGGGTTCTAGTGCGAAGCCATGACTAGTAGGCTGTAGCAGGTTGAAGATGTGACAGTAACTCACCTAAGAAGACATTGCGAAATGGTCGCGCTATGTCATCAATTGGCAGAAGTTAGAATTCAAAGATCATTAGATTGGTTCTCAGTGGCTTAATGGTCTATGAGCTCGCCTTGTAACCAGAAAGTCCTGAGTTGTAACCCCTGTGGTGGGTGCGTACTGATGAAGATTCCTGAATTAGGACGAAGTAGCTGTCCAGTACTCTTAATTGGTTTTAAAATGGTTCTCTAACTGATGTCAGCGATATGTAATAATATAACACTAAAATAGCTATCAGAAAAATTAAGGGCAGTGAAGCAGAATTCATAAATTTACAGACTCAACAGCAAGGGTAGGTAACGATACTGGCTGAACCTGCTTCCTTTGCAAACAGAGCTTCGGTTTTTTTTTTAAAGTGCATACACCTACTTTTAACTCAGAGTCCACTTATTGTACAACTGTTCGATACAATCTTGATCAGAATTTGCATAAATTTGTTAAAGAAAGCCTAATATTTATATAATAACTATCTAGTGAACTTTGATTTTAGACAATCTATCAGTTAGTGCGTGAATTTCTTTTTACACATCGTATAAGCAGATATCAACACGGCCACTCTTCGTATCTCATTGGCCAAATAGTGCTAATTATGCTGAAATATGACAAGTAAAACAAAACTCCATAATCTTGTTTCTTATTTATAAATTATCCTTCATAAATGCATCTTCTAAACGCGTTTTCTTATGTGATAACAAAAAAGGTGTGTATAATGCTGGTTTCACAAGATATACACAAGATATAGATAGATAGATTTTTCGAGCACATCAACTCCAAGGTAGAGGCAATTCAATTCACTTATGAATTGGAAAATCAGGAAGGGGAACTTCCAATGTTAGATTGCAAAGTAAAAAGGAAAGAAGATGGGAAGCTAAACACTAGTGTTTACAGAAAACCCACACATTCAAACAGGTATTTGGATTTCCGATCATCCCATCCTATGTCAGTAAAAATAGGATTAGTGAAATGTTTAAATGACAGAGCACAAAAGCTAAGTAGTACCAAGGAAAATCTAAGACAAGAAGTGACACACATAAAAGAAGCCTTGAAACTTAATAATTACCCGGATAAATTAGTCAAGAAATATGTAAGTAAATGTAAAAATAAATAATGATAATAGTAATGATAATAATAACAATAATAATGATAATAATAATGGTAATAATAGTGATAATAATAATATTGATGACGACACCAACAATGAGGAATCTAAATCATCAACAGGAATTCCATACAAGGAAGGAACCTCGGAAGCCTTACGCAGAATACTTAACAAGGCAGGAATAAAAGTGGCATTCAAACCCACAAACTCAATTAGAAACAAGCTTTGTCGGTTAAAGGATCCTGTGGAGCCACTAAAACAAAACAGTTTAGTTTATCTAATACCCTGCAATGATTGTGAGGTCAAATACGTAGGTCAAACTAGCAGAACAGGGGCAATCAGACTAGCCGAACATAAAAACCCAGCAAAATCTAGATCGGTTGACTCAAAAAAGGTAAGAAATCTAGAAAATAGTTCAGCTACAGCTCTACATGCAGTTACACGCAACCATACAATAGGATGGGATAGGATGACAGTTTTAAAATCTAATGTCACAGGGTATAGGGAGAGATTGATAACAGAAGCTTTGTTTATCTAATCAACGGCAAATACATGTAATAGATACGATTCAACACCTGTCCCAGATATCTGGAAAATTCTACTGCCCATACGACAAATAGGAGACGACAAAAAAAACTATAAAACTCAAATCTCAAAGTCGTGTGACCACAATTGATATGATTATGAACAATAAATTGTGTTCGAAACGTCATCCAGTATACAGTAATGTTTCACTGTGTGATACATCTAATAAAAAAACTAATATGGAATTACATACTACCACAGTGCCCAAGTTTTACACATATATTAATGCTGGTTTCAAAGATTGTATTCCATTAAAACACTTTTTAAATGCCTTTTTTAAAATCAGGATTCAGTGAGTAAAATTATTTAAATGTATATATACTGGCATGCACTGATACATAAAATATTTGTGGTTTTTTCTGTTTTCTTTTATAGTTAACTAAATTATGTTTCGTACTGTGGTCGACATGAACAACAATCGTCATCTAATATTGATGAACGCCAGCAAATTCCATTGAAATCTCAAAAATAACCAGAGAGCATAAATTAAAAGGCTGAAAGCAATCGGAATAAATGTTTCAAACTGATATACTAGCACTAATATTTCTATGCTTCCTACTCATTTTGTTGGCTCTTTGCTATTTAGTGTTTTACACTGGTACAGAAGAAACTGCAATGAAACGAAGAAAACGTCTTAGATCTATGAGTAAACAGTTGAATAGCAAAAGTGTTCGAAGTGAAGTTGCTCGTTTTTACAGTTCCGATAAGCAGACCCATCAGAATATGAGCTCGTGTTCTAGTGAATACGGTGATACTGTTGGTGCTACCGCCGCTACTACTGATGTTGAACGTGGCGCTTATGGAAGCTGCAATAATAGGAATCACTCGAAAAGGGATTCAATTGGAAACTTAAGTTTGAAAGCAATAAAAGAAATCCTTAAACCTCAACAGAGGCAGCCACGTTATAGTCTACAACACGTATCGCTGCATCATTCATATGAAAATGAACACACTCCCTTCAGCCAAAACAATCAAGGTATGAGACTTGTCTTTGGTCTTCAAACGCCACCATTAAACATAACTAAACCACAAGCAGTACAACCAGACAACAAAATGTTTGCACCAAAGCAAAGACTTATCAGAGCTTTTTCTGAAAGTTGTACAACAAAGCTAATCAATCCTGATAGTTCTGCAAGTCAGGTAGATGCTGACATTGGTGATAACAAGAAATTTTGTTCACCAGACAATGAAACAAGAAGAGGTGGTCATTTACCCAAGTTAAGTGAACCAAATCTTGACAGACATATTTATCCATGGTTAAGCCGTACCAAGTTCAGTAATGCTGTATTTCAAGCCGATAAATCTGTAACCTCTTCCAGTGAGTCGATGTGGTCTGAAGCTAGACGTCGTTTGAGCAGTACTGAAAAATTGTTTGATCCTGTTATGCGGATTTTGTCTACGATACCACTGAAACACCCAAGTAATGTAGATACTACATGGACAAATTTCGTAATGAATCCAGAAACAAATGGGCATATTTGTTTTTCACTAGTTTACACATGCACTCTAGGCACTCTGAATGTTACGATCAACCGACTGATTGGTGTCAATAATCTCATCAAAGGTTCACATATTTTGCCAAGTCAAACACCAACAAACTTTGTTGTCAGTCTACGCTTACGACGTAGTGAAAGATCATCGATTTATAAGGAATCAGAGATGGAGGAAAGGAAAAAGATGGATCTGCAAGAGGAAAGTGATGGTTTCCATAAAAAGTATTTCACGCAACCAGTGTTAACTTCATTCAATCCCAATTTCGACCAGTCATTTGTGTTTCCGATCACCTTAAATGAGTTGAAAAAAACTGAACTAGTTTTAACTGTGTTACAATCAACGACGATGAGTAATTCTGTAGAAGGATGTGTCAGTGCAGAGGGTGGCAGAATACCAAGACGTAACAACTCAGTCACATCATATCATCATCCACACTCCTACGGTGCTGACAAGTGTTCTCGAAAAGTCAATATGATTTCCGAAGAGATGCGATGTGTTGGTGTAACATTTTATAAATTGAATCAGCATGAACTAATCAACTGTCCAGAAAAAATGCAAAATATTTGGCAGGAATTACGTAAGTTACCTGAATTGAAAGGAGGAGAGTTTGACATCGGTAGTGATAATGAAACCAGTAAAAGTACTGCGTCAACTATTTCGGCAAACAACTCATTCAACTATGAGCCTGTTCGCTTTACTTTGAACAAAGAGGAACATAGTGTGAACGAAATAGAAAATGAAAATACCATGGTAAGTATCCCCCCCAAACATTTTATTCCCTTATTTGCATTATATACATCAGTGTAAATAATATTTCCCAGTTCAAATCAACTTTGGGCGTCTACGTCTCGTTTTTGGATTACTCGATTTATAAAATGACAATCACTAGGCAGCGAAAGGAAGTAAATTACATTTAAGGCAGTCAAACATGGAGTTATCACCAACAGACAAGGTCTGTAGTAAGATAAATAAAACTGTAGACGTTCGCACTGGATGTGAGGTAATTTTTTTTATCGCATATAAACAACACTTAATTGCGACAACTACTCATAGTATGGTGATGCATATTTTGCGTTTCATCTAGGTGATGTTCCCTAACTAATTTTCATTTTATCGTGGGCTTGACACATCACAGATACGTCGGTCAAAATAAACATAAAAGAAGCATGTCTTTTTAACTTAGTGATGCGGCTGTCACTAAGGTAATTTGTTCGTGTGTAAACATGACTATCACAAAAACAATAATCACATATGTTAACCTAAAAAAGTATTGCTAAAACTCATTTGTGGACTAAAACCGCACAGAAGATTTTGTTCTCAAACAAAAATTTCCCTACAAGGTTTTGATTAAAACAAGTTAACCTAACAGTATAATAGCCGTCAAGAGATGGAGCCTTATTTCTGGTTATCACTCTTTCCATACACACTAAGCGGAACACAGGACATTAACAGCACATCTTCATTGCATTCCATTATTTGTTATCACTTTCCAGTGATTTCACAACCACACAAGGGATTTGATTTCGTCTTTATGTGATCTGCGCTATATCACTCCCGTGGCCCAGAAAGCCACTAATCATTCAGGTTTCATTTGAGGGCCGGAATGATGATGCCAGTGAACGGCCTCCTCACTATATGCACAATGCATCTACATTTCATTCTGTCATAGATTCTTTGCTTGTAAAGTGTCACAGTTCCTTACTACTTTTCCTTTCGGTCTATTAGGCCTAAAGTATACAGCGAAGGCAGCTGCTCTTAAGCTTTATAATTTTTCTCTTTTATTGGTTACATTACTGGAATTCAAATCAAAACCATTCAAAATCGGGTCCCAGTGGTTTAGTGGTATACGAGCTCGCCTTGTGGCCAGAAGGTCTTGGGTTCTAAACCCTGTGGTGGGTGCGTACTGATGAAGAGTCCCGATTTGGGGCGAAACAGTTGTTCAGTACTACCTGCAGGTTTTCCAATGGTTCTCTAACAGATGTCAGCTCATGACGAAATCCTGTAACCAATCAAAACCCTACAAACCAACACTTGAATATCAAATCCTTTTCATGGTTTGGAAGAATGCATGCAGAGCAGAGACAAAACACTGTGTCTAAAGTTATTCAGCACACCTTGTTTTTACGTCAGGCAATAAAGCTGGGCTGTATCAACTGTATTTCAGATCTAACAAGTGGCAATAAACTAAAATTACTCTTTAGAGTCTAATTCAGTTCCAGTGAGAAATTCATACATAATGATTCGGAAAATATTATGTTCATATATATATATATATTTTTTTTTTGTCAAGTCTCATATGATTAAGTCATTAATTATCTGTTGAATGGGACAGTTGTTATGATTTGTCAATAATAATGAATGAATTCAGATAAATGGAAACAATGTAATATTTCAAAATATATGAGAATTAGTTTCAGTGTGACAGGAAATTAGAACATCTACACTGTGAAACTCCACAACATTGAAAGCATGATGGTGAAAATTTAAGTGTTACTTCCATTTTGTTTGACTTCCGGTTTCTATGAACAAGGTTTCTATTTTCACTCTTAGATTCATTCCTCTGTGCTTCTGTTTCCCAAGGAAGTGCGTTTGTGCAAATTGTAGAAGTACTTACAAAACGCTTTTTCTACATGATATACGATTCTCACAGTTGTTCTTGGTACATGGTTGTCTGATTGGTTCATTTAGTCATCCGTTTTTACAGCACACTTATTCGATTGATAAGATTCCCTCACGAGTCAACATCAGTTAGGGAGATCACTGAAAACCTCAGAAGACTGGATAGCTGTGTTTGTCCTATTTCGGGACTCTTCATCCGGACACATCCGCGACTCAACCGGGTATCGAAGCCGGGACCTTCAGGTTACCAGACCAAGCCAGTTCACCACCACCACCACCACCACCACTTGAGCTGGAATTCAATGACCTGTGGATTCCAGCTTTCAACTAGAATCCTGGCTGGGTCAAAAGTGTGTACCCAATTGATTCTCAGTGCTTCTTAGTTTACAGTGATCTCTCTAACTGATGTTGGTTCGTGTTGAAATTTACCTACTGAAATTCCATAATCTGAATATCACACTTATTTGCATTGTATCAGACAAAAGTCCTCAAAGTTATTTGTACGTGTGAACAGGTGTTCATTGTGTACAACGCTTACATCTCTTATTATCAGAACTTGAAATCTGGGAAGTTTTGAAATTATCAGATATTATTAGATAGCAAAATTTGAGCAGCTTTAAAATTTAACTCTTAAGTAATACTGCTTGAAAACATCAACTATCATTTCAGTGATTTGGAATAATTTGATTACTCAGCGGGAATAAACTGTCTGTCTCTCTTTCTCTCACTGGCGAAAAGATAACATCAGTTTCATTTGATGTAACCCATCATAACACAGTAATATAAAGTAAAATTTTAACCAAGACTTATTATTCATAATCATACCATGGTGATATGATACACTTTATCCAAATGCTCACATTCTGCCATTATGTTATCGTACACTATTATTGGCATCACATGCTATGAAGCATGATTGTATACTTTTAGTTCAACTATTTCATTACTCCAGTCGATTAGTAAATGTCTGTCTTTCAGATAATTACAAAAGCTGAATTGTGAACAAAATGTATTTTTCAGTGTAATCATATCCTTGTATTAACTTACATGTTAATAGTACACGTAAGAAAATCTTCTCACTTTTTAGGCTTAGACAATAATTATACCAGTTCGCTGAAACGTTGTCCGGTAATATCAACTAGAATTATGCATAGTAGCGTTGTTTCACTCAAAATGCCTAGAATACCTAATCAAAACACCGGGAAAAAACAAACTATTTACTCCGTCTTTGTAATATCGATTCTTTTTCTAGTCGAATATCATTTCAAGTGTTCCTCACAGCGGAATCATACGAAAGTCAATGGCGAAAGTATCTATCCTGTATAAAAGAGAATTATCTATCCTTGAAATTTCTGTGGAAGAGTTCAAAGATTTGAAGATACACAATAATGAGAGTAAGTGTAAATTTTCTATGATTTCCAGTAAAAACAGTTCCACTCACATCAATAAAATATAGTGGAGTAAATGGAAGAGACTTACAACCTGTTCTCCAAAACCATCATGGTGGATTTTCTGGTCTGTTTCAGAGCATATCCCTGTCCGATTCCTATTAAAAAAGGCTTTTAGTTTTTACCTAATATAAATCATGACAAGACTGTTCCTATCAGACAAGATTGAAGAGGTCTTTCCTTTATTCGCTGGAAGTGAACGTTTTAAAAAGTGACATCTGAAGATCAGCATTAGATCATCATGATAACTCCCACTGTTAAACAACATATTTCTTCAGTCTATGAATATTATTTGATACATTTATTACTCCTAATGAGTATGAGTACAGCAAGAACACGTTTCTGCAGAATAAAATGGTACCATCCTTTATTTCGTTGGATTTTCATCAGCTGCTTATAGGTCAAAGACATTATTGAAAATATCTACAGAAATAATTTTAACATACTTGCACAGAGTTCATTTTTAAACAAAAATCAATCAATCAATCAATGTATACATAGAGTATATATAGAGTGCGTCGGTGGCACAGTGGTTAGGATTTTCGCCGACCATGTACATGGTCCGGGGTTCGAGCCCACGCCGGCGCACACCTGATATCTATGGTTGGCCTGCAAAATTTGGGCTACCGATATCCATGCTGAAAATTCCATACTTGTACCAAAAATACAGTGTGGAATCAAGCTGTAAATCAAAAATAAAAAATAAAAAAAAATAAAAAAATATATATATTAAACACTATTCCGAACAGTAACGATCATACACAATGGAAAATTTCGACATTACGTAATCAGTTGAAAGAGAGGTGAAAATATCCAGTTACCAGGGCAAAGGAAGACTGATAACTGATTCTTTTCGAACGCATAAATCAGTTTTCAAGCGCTTGATGGAGATGGCTTCAGCAAACTTGAGGAGAATTGGACACTTTTGCCTATTGATAATTTTGAACGACTTTTAGACATCCACCTGATGACCCATGTCAAGGAGATGCCTGGCGATGACACTGTGTAAAGCATTTGTTCCCTTGAGACGTAAGCTTTTTGGTACATATTCAAAAAATTGTAGATATGCCCTTCTTTCTGTTCTTCCAATGTAACTGCTCCGCAGATACCTGTAAATTTGTATATACAGTTGAAGCTAACATGAGACATTGCCATGCAACGCCTAGAAGATGTTAGTTTTCAGAAGTCAATTTACCGCAAGCCTTCATGGGAAGGACAATAACTTTAGTCCACATAGCTTAAAAAAGTGGACTAGATTAGACTCTATATTATGGAGCTAGGAAGTTATGCTCCATAGAGAAATTAGACGAGTAATTTTCGTTTGTTGAAAATATGTTGAAGAGCAATGGTTACCATCAAAGATTCATTAACAAGTACGGAAGATTTGAAGCCTCAAATGTCAAGCAAATCACAGTGGAGAAAAAATCCATCTACATTCGGCTTGATTATAAGGGTGAAAACACTGCAGCAGTGGTCAACAGAAGACTGATTACGTCACTAGCCACGGCCTATCCTGTAGCTAAGCTCGTTCCTGTCTATCGAACCAATTGCTCTTTGGTGTAATCAAAAATCGATAGACATCCTTCTCACGTTAACTTCAACTGTATATACAAATTTACAGGTATCTGCAGGAGCAGTTACATTGGAAGAACAGAAAGAAGGGCATATCTACAATTTTTTGAATATGTACCAAAAAGCTTACGTCTCAAGGGAACAAATGCTTTACACAGTGTCATCGCCAGGCATCTCCTTGACATGGGTCATCAGGTGGATGTCTAAAAGTCGTTCAAAATTATCAATAGGCAAAAGTGTCCAATTCTCCTCAAGTTTGCTGAAGCCATCTCCATCAAGCGCTTGAAAACTGATTTATGCGTTCGAAAAGAATCAGTTATCAGTCTTCCTTTGCCCTGGTAACTGGATATTTTCACCTCTCTTTCAACTGATTACGTAATGTCGAAATTTTCCATTGTGTATGATCGTTACTGTTCGGAATAGTGTTTAATATATATATATATATATATATATATATACTCTATGTATACATTGATTGATTGATTGATTTTTGTTTAAAAATGAACTCTGTGCAAGTATGTTAAAATTATTTCTGTAGATATTTTCAATAATGTCTTTGACCTATAAGCAGCTGATGAAAATCCAACGAAATAAAGGATGGTACCATTTTATTTTTTTGCTTAATTCAAATTATAATTTGATCTAGGTTTCACTCTTTAATATTGTTTTAATGATTTATCGAAGAAGTCATGTTAACAGCACACTCTGTGTGTTGAGATATCAACAAAGGCTTTAAAGGTTTTCCATTTATTCTGTATTTCACACATTTATTGAAGTCAATTCATTATATAATAAAAATAACAGTGCATGTTTAGGATGAAATGATCATTTAGCTTTCCGTTATCCTGACTCATATTGTTTGGATTATAAACATCTAAGGAACATAGTCATAAGTGCTGGTCTTGTTCTGTAATACCATTCTTATGAAATCAGCATATGAGAAAAATCTTGCCACTGATTGCACCACACAATTACTGCACGTAAAAACTGCCCGTTTTGTAGTAATTTTGATAAGCGAGATAAACTACTCAATAATTAATCAGTAGCCTAAATTTAACTACGAAACTTTACTTATCGTCTGCAGTTCATTGTTCCCTGTTAACTATGCCATTTGATTTGTAGCTGATATGATCTTCCAAGCATTATTCTGCTTGGGAAATACAACCCTGTCTGTTGTCAAAGGGAAACCATTCAAAATAAATAAACTGAAGAATGACAAAGCCGTCAATGATAAAGATGAAACATACAGTTTCTTCGACATAGCAATCCCTTATACTGAGCATATATCATTGAATGTGGATATGAATCGATTATTAAGCTATAATAATATTGGAGTCCTTTTCCAAATATTTGTTCGACCAGAGTTATCAAATCAATCGAGACGTCTGGCAAATATTTCAGTCGGTCAAACCAAAGTAACCTACGAAATGGCTCTACTTCAATGGGGTGATTTGGTTAAAGAATTGAAACGACTAAAAAATGATAATTTATTCACTTCAACAAAGAAAATAACTTATTGGCATTCTGTTGATGCGCTGTGATGTTTTATTTCCACAGGCGACAATATTTCAGATATAACATTGACTTTAATTATGTGATTATTTTATCAGAATTTTAAAAATAACATTCATTGTAAGCTAGTCATACAAAGACATACCCCGTGACCACTAGATATTTACTAACATGTATTTGCTTGAAATGACAATTGAAGTGAATTTCGTTTTTCTAATATCAAAGTGTTTATAACTGTTGTTGACTGAGTCTTATTTCACTTTTCCTGTGTAAAGTATTTGTGTACCTCGCGGCATAATTTCAGTCGTGATTCACAAGATTACTAATGTGATGCTTCATTTGCCAACTTATGGAATTTCTACGTGACAAGCGAATATTTATAATTCATTATAGGTTGAATTATTGATGACAGATAGTAAGTAGCAATGCTAAATTTTCAAAAGAAGTGCAATGAAACAAAATATTGATGTGGAAAATAACTACCACAAAACATCTTGTCACAAAACCTCCGACTAGTAGGTTCATTTAGAAGCAGATGCTTTTGAAATGACTTCAAACACATGTGTGAGTATGATACAAAAGAAAAGTGATATCAAAGTTGTTGTCCAACAGAATTCCAGCTGTTTACAAACTGGAACATAGCATACTCCAGATGATTCAGTCAAATCAAGACTTTTTAAACCAAATAAATGTCGATATTGACATATTAATGGAATATATATGAGCATATAACTTAGCACTAAAACATTTTCAATCAAGAAACTTAGCACTTCACTCTGATCTCTCTAATTCACTCAAATTGACAATATTTTCACGGTATATCTCAGATAGTTTCATTTGTTCTTTCCCACCAGGTGTACAGAAGAAAGTTGTTGTAAAATAGTTTTGGTATCGCAACACTTTTATACATGCGAAATGTCATTCTATCAGTTTAATTATATGAGATACAATTACATATGAGCATTATTCACAGTAGACTCGTCATTTGATAATTTACCTGCGATTTTATTGATTATTTTATTACATTCAGACAAAACTACTCATATTCATCAGACGAAGTTTACATAGTCCACGCCTGTGGCAGATAAGCAGTCCATCGAAAATCCATTCAAATTATGCAACTCACATTATGTATGTGAACGTGATTTCAGACTACAAGGTATTTGATTAATCACAGGAATTTTGCGTAGGAGCTTCCAGTGGTAAATATTGCACTTAGTAGGAGTACTTTTTGTTTTCATGTTGGACTTCTATATTTCGTATTGCTCTAATCAACTGATTGTCAGGATATCAATGAAGATTAGAAAAGAATATAAGCCTCAGCATTTGTTTCTTGTAAAGATACACAATATTATAAGGTGGAGGATAGTTTTTAGACTGAACAGCCTTTACAGATTAATGCCTAGTCCATAGTAAGAGAGCTTTCAGCAGGAGACTAGGTGTGTTGTTTCACGAAAACAATTTATTTGACTGGTAGGAGAGTTTGTTACATAAATTGTATATAAGTTTTATTTAGATTTCTCTAGTTTACTGTATTATAACAAAATACCAGTCACAATATGCCTAATTAACTATGTTCTGCTTAGTCTTTGCCAATTTTTAAACTGAATATTACATATTTTTGCCGGGAGGTTTATTTTACTATATAACTGAAACAACTCTTATTGATGTAGTAAGCTTTTGTATTTATAAAAAAACAGATGTGTTCATTGGGAAGATACATTACATAAATAACATGCACTGAAACATGGTGAATTTTTGTTGTTTTAAGTTGAGGAGCTGTTTACTTTCCAAGTATCTTTAGGGGTGGTGCTACAGAGAAATAAAAAAAACTGTAGTTTTAACTGATACGCTGAGGATAGATTTAGCACGAAGTTTGAATACGTTCATGACGAAGTATTGAGAAGATTCAAGATTTTATGTAATGCCTGTGGCTAATCAGATTTACAACTATATATGACTGTCGAGTTCTCAAAATTTCATCCTTAAATAGTTTAAAGCATCAAACGAATGATACAATAAGGTTTAAACATTAGGGCCTTAAGGAAGGTTAAAGTATGCCTATTCAAAATACTTGAATCTAGTGGCATTACCCTATTATAGGGCATTTACTTAGTACTGAACAACATCTTTTCTCAAAGTGTTAACCAAATACAATTAGTCGGGCTCTTTCGACTTTTGGCGGATCTTTCGTCATACTGAAACTGGGATAGCAAATCGCTGGAGTAAGGCAGCACTGGGCGATTTCTTCTTTTTAGTTTGAAATCCATTAACACAGTCCCTTCATGATTTCTGCAAAGATCTAACACAGAACTGTTAGGTTACGAGGTAAGTAGCCGACAACATAACAGTTATGCTTAACACCTATACACAATATTGTCCACGATGGAAATATATAGTTCACAGGTGAATTTGGACATAAATTTATGTGTGTGTATGACAAAGGTATAAGTGAAAAAAGCACCTCTTCATAAAGTGGTCTAAACGGAATTTCGGCTAAATTGTCATAAATTTCAACAGTTAAGTTGAACTAACTATTTAGAATTGAAATTCCCTTGATTTCTCTCCTCTATGGAATAAGAGAGTGAAAGGAATTATGCATGTTTGCGGGTATTTTTATATCTGCATGGCAGTGATTCGAACTTTAAAAATTACCAATCTGCTGATAAAACTAATGTGGATAGGTAAACAAGGCCTTTCACAAGCCATTGATTAGTGATGATAATCATGTGTTTCTTAATAAATAAATTTTTCCCACCGAAAATAAGTAAGTCTATTAAACAACGGTTTCGCCATTAAGAAAGTCTTTGAATATGATGATACCTTTTACCTTGTAAGTGAATACCAGAACATATTAACAATCACTCTCAAATATGTAACAAGAAAATTTCCAACCTTCAGAAAAAAAATATCTCCGAAATTTATGGGAAAACGAATTTATTTTTTGGGGCAGGGTACATCGCCAACTGTAGTCAACATTTTTTTCTACAAAAGCACACTTTTCTAAAATGCCCAGTGGTAGGATAAACGCTGACAAGAATAGACTAACTGTACCTATCAAGAAAGATTGAAGAAATCAACTAAAAATTAGAGTATTTCTCTCAGTACATCACAAGTTAGTGCCGCAGGAACGCAGTGATGAATACATCTTGTTATAAAAGCCTTCCGATAAAAATTAATTCACTCGCATTACAGAAGCAGTGATAACTGTAACGGAACAATTGTCTGAAAAATCCCTTCTGGACGATCTAATTACAATATTTATACTTATATGGGTGTTTTAAGTAACTTAGTAATTAACCGTTTTTCTCCTAAAGTCTATATAATTGCTCTGACATTTGCAATATCACATGTTGACTTCGTCTTTATCATTTTTTCTAGTCCCTGTTTGACCTCTAATTGTAATACTTTTCTTTGTGGTTGTGCAATACATTGATAATTTGTTGTTTCACGATACGAATTTTTTGCTGAGTAAACCAAAGTTATTCTGACCTTAGACTGTCCACGGGAATTGTTGGTGTATTATTTATTATGTCTCTTGGACAGAGTTTTGATCCCACCTTGGTGGGAATATTCTACTTGATTCTCTGGTGAATTTTGATTGGCTAATTCTGTTCTACGGTACTTGTTTTGTACTAGAGAATTATTTAGATTGTAAAGCTGCCCAAGGGCCTTGTTGAGGTTATTTTTGAGTTCCTGATAGTATTACTGCTGAATTGAAACACCGTTACGTAGACCAATATTCGTCTATTTTTGCTGTCCGCGTCCAGACCACAGTGAATCAGTTCTGGTCGTAAAAGTAACTTTCAAGTTTATTTCTCAGACACGAAGCATTTGATGCTCTTTTCCATTAGGTGCAGAGTAAGATAAAGCTGTTAACCTGGAATTTCCAGTATGGCCAACGTGACAACCAGCTGCCTTTAGGCGAATTCGGGTCACTCGTAAACTGCTTTGCACATAATTTAAATACGCTCTGTATCACCACTCATTTTTATATTTAGGAAGTGTTATTGAGTAACACTGTGTGGGTGATTATAAAACTTTTAGTCATTTGGATCACTTCTTCTGTAGCATCCTCGACAAAAACTACAAAATATCCAGGAATCGTATGAGCTTGGATCTGCACTAGATGGTGATGAGTCACGGCATAATGCTGGCTAACTACGCGGAAGGTTCTAGCCCTATTCCTGGTCGACGCACTTCTAAACTACACCCAGTTCACTAGCCGCTAATAACTACGGAAAAAAAGGTTGGCAACCTTACCCTTCAACCTTTCATACAAAACTGAAACTTCACATCTTAAAGCTCTATCTTGTGATGAGAACGCGAGGAACGGAAACGATTATAACCAGACGTTTCTGTTTTACAGTAAACATAATTAACTCTGAAATTTCTATTTTTAACACTTGACTCCGCATGAAGCGATGTGGACAACTACCAAAATGAAGCAAATGAATTACGGCAACGAGGTGGGTAAAGGACACTATCTAGACAATCACTTACAATCTTTTATACATTTAAGCAGTCAAAATATGAAAAAAATTGAGAGAGCATATTCCATAGTGTGATGCAGTATTTACATTAAGTGGAATCAATTGGTGACATACAGCCCGTGTACTATAGTACAGTGGTCTTGGCCAGTTACAACGCCGACAATTATTTACTGAATGGATTCCGCTCAATGTACCTTTCAGTTATTTCATCACTTAAGCATGCCAACAAAATCTGAACTTTTACTTTATCTAAATCAAGTAGAGATATGTAACAACAATTTGCTTTATTCCCAAACACGTCTTATGATGCTTCGTGTGCTTTGGAAGTGTGTGGGCGGTTGTTACTTCCCGGCTGCCCACACCATGGAAGTTGATTGATTCTTCGGGGACCTGAAACAGAGAGAGGATTAGTGTTGCGACGTGACCGCAGAGTCCAGGGGGAAACTGCTTGAGGCCGATTGCACACAGCCTGTATGAACTGGTTTCTTGGATTGGTTCGGTATTAGTAAACTTGCCGCTGGTTACGGATCACCGTAGGATAAGCCGGGATGTACAGTTGTTGGGGTCGACCTATTCTAACCCCCTCTCTCCGAAGTGGAGAGACAGCATAGCTGGCTGGCATGCTGGACATCTGAGGGAAACACCTCACTGCTGTTGCACCCCTGTTCCCTAGCAGTACGACTTCGCCCTCAGACTCCCAGCATAGTGTAAGAAAGATTCTTACACAATGCCGGTAATTGCTTTTAGTCTAATTACTATCCTAACAACCTTCCTGGCATGGTAGGACCTGCAGGAACAATAGTTCCAGCCAGTGCAGCTTGTTGGGTCATCACGATGTGCAAGCCCGACCACCAAGTCAAGGTAGCAGCTATCGGTCGGACTTATGATGCAGTGTGGAATTTTCAGCATTTGGTAGAATATTGCTTTTCATTTACTCGATAATAGCAAAAACAAAATAAAAAATAATATTACAGGATATACGTAGCCAAAACTGATGATGGCAGCTTATTGATATTAGCAGTGACAATAAAGTCAGTGATGTACAAAATGGGGTAAAATAATGATTATAATGTTACTAGCTAAAATTATAATTTAACTCAAATATTGTCCCCATAAATTACAAACAGGAGAGAATACAAGAGTCAATTATTTTGCTGATAAAATAGTTGTTAAGTTTGGAGCAGTTAGATCGGGACTGTTTAAACGCTGGGCTACCTGAACTTTCGCCTTTATGTTACATCTAATATAGCTGTTACCGACATTTATCAAAAAAAATCTGCAGCCGCACTCCTTCTGAATGAAAGCAGATTCATGTAAATCTTAGTCTTGTTTATGTAGTTTATGATCAAACCACGAGAATTTTTTTCAGACCACGCATAATCAGCTTTAACTGAAGCTAGAGTGAAGTAAAAAGATATCAGCTAGTGAACTCTAGATTGCCAGCAGATGCTCTGAGAACAGTAAGAACTCATTCCTCTTCATGAAAAACGGGAGACATTTTTGATGATTCAAGTGGAATGAATACTTGTATATAATAACTCAATCAAGAGAACTCTAGACTGGTGGCATGAGGACTACAAGTTTCATTGAATACACTTGTCCTTGTTAAGCCAGCAGTGTCTTTACTTTTAACGCGTTATCCATTTTTGATGAGACAGAATTCAGATATTTCTATCGGAAAGGCTCTATCAAATCTATAACAGACGGTAATAGCGTGAGGACAAACTTAAAACAGTTTTAATATGAATGCCTCTAGGTCTGGAAAATGTTGGCTTCTAAACCTTTCTTTGCTCATATTATATGACTGGAGGCAATCGGCAGGTAGCCTTGAACCTAGGACATATACAGTTCGACAAGGGTCAATCGGGAGCCTGAATAGCTAAGTGGTAACGTTTCTGATTGCAACACTGGGTGATTCAGGTTCAAGGCCCAGGAGGGACATTAATTCCTTCAAGGTTGCAGGAGCGTGTTGCTGACGAGTGCCAAACAGCACGAAGCCAGACAAGGCTTCCTGCTGACTGTCTCCAACTACCTAGTAACAACGATTAAAAGTGCACCGTAACAGTGAAGCATCTAGAATAGTGGTCACACTGCAAACTTGACTGGCAGAATTCAGTCTGCACAAAACAAAGGACTAGACACATTATACTAGTTACTAACTAGTGTCTAATGAAAGCAAACCGTTCTTTTCATAGGACACTGAACCTGCATTTCGAGAAATGCGAAAGTTTTATATAAATTCAAACAACAGTTATAGTTTTATTCGTGTTTCTTTAAGAGTTTTAATGTTTATCTTCGTCATTATTTGTTTACAAGGCCTTGGCATAGTTCATACTTAAAAGTGAGTCCTTTGTCTTCAATAATTTTAAGTGTTCTAATAACAGGAATGTGGACAAATTTGGGAGTGTTGGTTATTCTGAGTGTGAAATAAACTGATCAGTGTACAAGCCATTTATTTGAATGATTAAGAAATAAGATTCTTTGTCATTGTGAAACAACAGGTGTTAAAAATTAGTAAGTAAGCAGACGGAAGAATTCTACTGTTAGCGTAGAACTTGAACACTGGTGGAATATAATTCCATATTAGATAAGTTTATTTTAATTATCACATAGTGATGCAGTATTAACAACTGGTTGATGCGTCGAGCATAAATTGTTGCTCATAATCATATCAATTTAGTCAATTTAGATAACGAAATCAAACAAATAAAGCAAAATATTACTCATGAATAACTGCCCACCAGAATTTATTCAGAAGTATCTGAAGAACCATAGAAAAACTGAGACTAGAAATAAAAGTGATGAAAATAATATAGAATTCAAAGCCTCGATAGCACTGCTGTATAAAGAAGGAATGTCAGAGGCCTTAAGTAAAATTCTCAATGACGCTGAAATTAAGGTCGCATTTAAATCAACCAACCAACTCTCTCAGAGATAAATTTTATCGGCTACGGGAACCAGTAGATCCACTTAAGAAAAATAATATAATTTACCAAATACCTTCTAATGGCTGTGAGGTCAATTACATAGATGAAACTAGTAGGTCAGAGTCAACTAGATAGTTGCAACATAAAAATTAAGATAGACCTAGAATAATTGCCCCTGCTAAGTTAAATAACCTAGAAAAAAGCCCAGCTATTGCATTGCATTCCCTTGCGTGTAACCACAAAATAGAGTGGGATAGAATGAGAATATTAAAAAGTAATACAGTTAGGTGGAGGGTGAGGTTAATTACTGAAGCGTTGTTTATCTATTCAACACTGCACAAGTGCAATCTGAGTGAAGTAAAGCTTATACCAGAGATGTGAAAACTGGTAACACATAACAGAGAGAGGCTAGAGAGGCAGAGTTGGGGAAATATATATATATATAAGACAAATTGTGAAAAATTGTGACTAAAACTGATATGATTATGAGCAATAATTTATACTGGAAACATCATCCAGTTGTTAATACTGCATCACTGTGTGATTATCAAAATAAACTTATCTAATATGGAAGAATTCCATAACTTAGACAAATAGTAAACTATCTAGAGAACTCCGTTTTCTGCTGGCTTGGAGATAACAACGACTATGTTATCCCAACGGTCATGCTTGACGTACCTTTCATCAATGCGCATTTTTGTATAGAACGATATGCTACTTATTGGTTAAAATAAGTAGTCTTATACCAGCAGTTCGCAAATTGTGAATTTGATTTATATGGTAGCACCAGTTCGCCCAAATAGACAGTCGGATATCAGGTGATTTGGACTGATTAGGCCCTCTGAGCTGAGTCGACCAGAATATTCCAACGTTCGGTGCGACTACAAACGAGAGAAGAAACCGTTTTGTGTTTTTGCATCACTTCAATCTGACTAGCAGGCACTAATATACGATAAGAGTGATATCCAAGATTATTCATGTCAATCATTCAGTAGCATATAGTCACACGCAGATATGCTTGCCTTCTTGATCACCATTTATGAGATCAAGCAGATCACATACTGTGGTGATCTGAAATAATGCCAGTTTTCAAAAGAAAGTATGATGAGATTTCCCTCCTCGAACTGTGTACACCGCCAATTTCCAATTAATTTGCGAACTTTGAATTTTGCTTAGTGCATAGGAACAAACTTTGCGTACAATTAACACAACTTTGAAAACAGTCATCAGACAAGACAATCAACATTCATCGAGTTCAGTAGTGCTTCGTTTATTCAACAGTCAAGTTCTTATAAAGTCAGTTAGTCTGGTAATGAAATGTTCACGGTTATCAATAGACTGAATGAACATTCCATAGGTATCAGCTTCACTTATATGTACGGTTACACTTCTATGCGGTAGCTAGGTTTAGACTTTCTCCCCACTTGTATCCAGTGAAATTAATAGGAATGAAAACATAGCCAACCCCATTGCAAGTGTTATGGAAGTAAATATTGCATTACACATATTACACAACAATAATTGAACTAACTGTCTAAAGAAATTGCGAGAGACACTCATTTGGCATAAATTTTTGGATTATCCACAATCTTGAGGGCAACACAATCGCATTTCTAGTGAAAAAAATATATATATATCATGGTGAAATCCTCCAACCAATATATTATTGAGTTCGATTTTCGAATATTACATCAAAGACTTAGGTGCTAATGCATGTAACAAGCATTTGAACATTTACTTATTGTTACTCTCCCTTTATAACAATAAGTATTCTCCGAAGCCTAATTACGGGACTTGTATTTAGCCACTGGATTTGTATCAACTCTTCACAAAAATTTGTTGCCTTTCTCACAAATCCTCCTTTGATTTTATTCCCCTACGTTCCCAGTGAAACATAGGACTTCGAGCTAGAGGCTTGAACTTTCGGTCTCAGTGGTGTTTATTTTTTTACGGGATGCGATTGCTAGCCTCATACCTTAACCTTCCATCCTTACCAGTTGTATTACTGGCTTAGCAAGGTAAAAGAGTGCGTCGGCCGGGGATTGAACCCCGAAACATCACCACCACCACCACCACTACAGAGACTTACTTATCCACAAAAGACAACTGTTTTGATAATTAAGATATATTAAATGTTCACGGTATATTATTTTAAAATATATATATAAAAGAAAATCACTCATATACTCACAAGGATACAACAACTAAACACGGAAAACTGTGTTAGTGAGTAGAACATGAAAAACGATTATTAGAGTGAAAGTAATTCATCTCAGTTATGAAATCTCATGTGTGTGGACAAGTCATGGAAAAGAGAATTAAAGAAACAAAACAAATAGACAAGCGTAACATCGCGCCTGGAAATTCATCGGTTAAAATTAACGTCCCATGTAAGTCCACAAAACATACGAAAATAAACACGGAGAGAAAGAAACAGAATGATAATACAGAAAACCAAAAAAAAAAATAGGGAACAGACAGAAGCAGTACAAACACGATTTGTTTCAACATTGAAAACTTTAATGACAAAGATAAAGCTTGATGACATTTTTTACGCTAATGAGATCGGTATACAGAAAATATCCCAATGTAAATAAAAATTTAAATATGCGGAACAATGAGACTGGACAGAGACTAGAATTTGTTGTGTTTATTAATTGACAATGATCCACCAGAAAGTCAATTAACAAAATCACTGAGGTGCCAGGTACATAAATACGCAAAGCACCTTTAGCATTCATCTCATCGCAACAGTTACAGCACCACCGTTATTATCAAAAGAAGCAGTAACTGCACCAATAGGAAAGGCAGAGATAGGTCCTTCCATTGAATAAAAAGCATTTTGTGATATTGTATTGAAAGCATATAAAATATGTTAGAAAATAAATACTGTTAGTAGAAAAAAAAGCATAATTGAATACAAGGAACACTGATTGAATCCACTATTAAACTGTGATGTAAACTAATTTTCAAAATAGTACGCAAGTTCACAAGTGGTGTATGACACAGCTAAATGGGAAACGAAACAGTGAAAACGTAGCAAACAAATGAAAGTTTAGTTATAATTATAAATACTAACGATAAAAAAATGAAAAGAAACAATTCGTGGGGGAGGGAGAGGGGTAGGTGGATGCTTAATAAAGCAGACAGAGTAGAATTTTACACTTTCAGATTACACGTTAGCTTTGGAAAAACCTTGAATAGTTAGAAAGATGTTCTATGCTGCCTTTCTTCTTGTTCTCCTGTTCAATTTCCTCCATTTTTACTGTTAAGTGAACACAATAACAACAAATGATTAAAACAGTAGGCATATAAGCACATAAGCAATATGCTGACATTATAATGTAAGGAAGAACTGAAACACTTAATTTTCTGATTGGCTGGGGGTCAACGAACAGTTGTCAAAAGTCATAATAAAATACACAAAGATTCATTTGATGTTTGTTTTTTTCCCAGGGACCACTGACATCTTCAGTTATTCGAACTAACTCTATTCAGGTTAATCATCTTCTAACCAAAGAAAACATTCAAACTAGCTCTCTCGTATTCATTTAGTGTGATTTACCAATGACCACGTTGTGAGATATGAATAAACATTCGGAATGACTTCTTGAATCACTGAGCACTGTTTATTTATTTTTGATATCTTGATTTGATACTAGTAACTAGTGTGATGTGTCTAGTCCTCTGATTGGTGCAGACTGAATTCAATCAGTCAGGTTGCAATATGACCACCAATCTAGGTAGCTCGCTTCCTGTCTAGGCTTCCTGCCGATTGCCTCCAACCATCTAATACCATCAAATTTATTTTTGAGGAAAATAACAAAAGTGTGGAGGTAGAGCAGAGTTCTTTTCTATAATTTCTGTACACATTCTTATGCGCAAGATATCACATTTTATTCATTTTGATGATAGTCAATAATTTGCTGAAACCAAGTTTTTAAAAAATGAGTAGCAAGAATAAATTTGACAGAGAAAGCTGTCTTATTACGTCATCCATACATCAGCCTTTTTCAATACAGTTAGATTTGAAATTTTTTTTTTATTTTATTTTTTTTTATTACAGCTTGATTACACACTGTATCTTTGGTACAAGTATGGAATTTTCAGCATGGATATCAGTAGTCCAAGTTTTGGAGGCCGACCATAGATATCAGATGTGCGTCGGCAGGAGATCGAACCTCGGATCATGTGCATGGTCGGCAAGAGTCCTAACGACTCTGCCACCGACGCACATGTATATATTCTCTAAGTTTCATGCTATTACTTGAAGATTTGAGGACATAAATTCATACTTTCCAATGCAAATTGAAAAAAAACACCGAACTATGCATAATAAAAACAGTTTTACTGGTAGAAAGTTTCTTCACAGAACCACCAAAAAAAAGATAGACGCCTTTGCAAATTACCACGAGTGGGACTTAGTTACCTCCAGGCAAGAGAAGTAAAAGTAACTTCATCTTTCAGCTAGTTTGTATCACATAAAAAACAATATATTTGTCCAGCTTAATTCATCTACTTACTTAATTCATGAACTTTGAACAAGATATTGAATTCGATTGGTTTTCTACACTACCGTTGAAATTGACTGCTTGACGCATTGTTGTGGACAAGTGTTCCTGAAATGTGGAATCATTTTCTGATTTCAATCCATTTGGGAATGATGATGAATTAGTATTTGATGATGGGATTAATGATATCGCACGTTTTACTGTTGAACTAGACGTTAATGGTATAGAATTACTCCCGTTATTCAATTCATTAGAATTCATAAGTGATAAAGGTATAACTGGATGAAATGCCGCCATGTTGGAATTCATTGCAGATGCAAGCTAAAAGGTCGATTAAAAATAGGAATTATAGTTATCATATCAGTTGAAGAGGCAAATTAACTTCAGTGAATTAAGATATCCAGTGAATGTAGTCACTTTTCATGTGTATAATCAGATTCTGAAACCTCTGTATCTAACAAATCAAAATATTTCATTTGTGAGGGTAATAAATTTGTAAATCAGTATGTAATGTCATTTAAGTTACTGGCGAAATTCCCACCACTCAAGAATCAGAGGGAATGTCTGCCGTTGAAAGTAATGGTTAGAGGACATTTAAATAATTATAGCTAGGAAGAACTGGCTTTCAACTTGTAGGACAACGACTTCATCAAGCTCACTGAGGCTGCAAGAACAACATGAAATGCTACTGTAAAGCTGTACGACTCATATCAGCCTTCTTGTAACAGTTTTATGATAATACGAAGCACACAATATAATAATGCTGTTCGAAATATAATTGACTTCATATATAATCGCTTAGCAAAAAACGGTGCTATTTTCAATATTGTATGATCAAGACTGTTGGCCGGGCCTTGTTCTACAAAACTAACAGAAAAACTTTCAATGATATGCTTTTGTCCCTAATTACAACCAGTCAACATTATTAGTGAGAATATATTCACCTATGCATAAGGAAATCGTCTTGTTAGTAGTGATCTGAAATTAATAAATCAACAGAATCCTCAGACATTTTCATTGGGTTATGAAAGTTCCCTAGGGAGTAAATGCATCTGCAATACTGACAAACTGAAGCATGCTTGCAATTTCAGCTTTTGGGGATATTTTAAATGTAAGTGATATTTAAGTCAAACTGATTCCATTTGTGCTTCTGAATGAGATAAAATTTTGTACATTCAAAGAAATATCCGCAGCATACAGGTTACACACATTATTTATCGAAGACTTCAACGTAAGTTACATATGTCCAAATCAAGTTCAAAGTTCAAATCAATCATTAAGAACCAAGAGATAACTGTCATAAAACTAAGTTAATGTATTACTAGGGGATTAAAAGACTTACAGACAAAAACCAACAAACTGACAGACGAAGCAGTAAAGACAGTACTTCAAGTAGACATAACAATGTTGTAGATGATGAAAGTAACTAATCGACAAAAACAAACCCCAGTCACTATCAGCGGAATAAATTTGAAGGGGGCCACTTCATTGACTTGTCTAGGAAGCATCGTTTCAACTACAAGCAGACGGCATGGATGAGAATGTCAAAACCAGATTCTGAAAGGCAAGAGAGACATTCATCCTTCTGAAGTCACTATGGGAATCTTCTGCACTCAGCATAAACAACAAGATTCTGACTTTCGACACTAATCTCAGGTCAGTCAGTGCTTCTGTATGGGTCAGAAACCTAGTCTGTGCGCCAAAACAAGAATTTCCAACTATACATTCTGGGCCTTTATCAACAGCTGTGTTCTCTAGCTTCATACTAAAGATCAGATGACCGGCCGGAAAGAATTAGCAGCAAGAACCTGTGGGAACGAACTAGTCAAAAACCTGTTACCCGAAAAATATCCAGAAGAAAGTGGAGATGGAGACCGTTAAAAGACACCACGTGTTGGCCTGGTCATCACTCTAGTGGAACCGAAAAGAGGAACGACGACTTGGTTGTCTGAGAGTGACATGGCGGCGATTTTTTGAAGAGGTGATGAGAGACTATGAGATATAGTAGGACTAGGTAGAGAGGATTTCAGAAAATTGGACAAAGTGGAGATGTGCTGTTGAAGCTTTGTGTTCCACTTGGAACCCTGCAGAACAATAATAATAAACAGTATAGCATTAGGTTGGCAGACAGCTCAATAGTTTTCTTATAACTGATCAAAGGTACATTTAAACTTACAAAACTGCTTAGTCCTATTTGTTTCAGGCACTCCTTTCTAAAACACGTAATTAACTGGTTATAAGTCGTCAAAGTGAGTACTGAACCACTCATACTGATAAAAGAATATCCAATTACCAGTTTTATAAGTATGCATTCATTGAAATCAAGTGTTCCGAAGTGGCATTGTCTAAATCATTGAATAACCTTCAATCTTACCTAAATGATGAAAACCAATGGTTGATGAACAATACAAATTCACAACTCTTTATAATGTAATATAAATTCACCATATTCCCAGGTGTCTAACTATTACACTGCAACTATACACACATCTGATGCAAGTACAAATTACCTAAACGTAAACGCATACATTCAATTAATTTGGAAGAATAAACTGTGAACAGGAATAATATCTTCGCTAAAGACATCACCGACACCTATTTTACTAAGTATACAAAAAAAATCATCTTTTAATCTCAAACAACTTGAAAACTAAGTGCAGACAGATGCAATACAATGAGGTACATACACATTATGTGAGAGTTAATAATACTATATGGACACCATAACTCTAGCAAGCATAACGACGTTTTGAATACATGATCCAGAAGACTGAAAGCTGATTGCTTAAGTTAATATATATACATATATATGTATATCTTATTCCTTCATATCCCCAGTGGAACATACGGGTTCAAACTAGAAGTGTTTAATTTTACAGGATTGGATTGCCCAATCTTTCCTCTTTACCAGCTTTTTTTATTACTGGTTTAGGGAGGTAAAAAATGCGCCGGCCGGGGATTGAACCTCGGACCATGTGCATGGTCGGTGAGCGTCCTAACCGCTGTGCCAACGACGCACAATATATGTATATATATATATATATATATATGTTTATCATCTTGATAGCAGAATGTTTTATTTTGTTTTGGAAGTCACATGTAAATAAGCATAATATTATAACTTACATCATCACCTCACAAAAATGAGTATCCAACATACCTCTTCGTACAGTCTTAAGCGAGTTTTCAGTCGTTCAACTTCAGCAGTTAGTCGAGAATTTTCAGATTCCAATTCTACTTGTTTTTCCAGGATAAAAAAGTAATAAGAATTAATATTTATTCATGATTTAAAACAAAGCCATATGAAAAATAAAAGTTTAGGGTGAACAAGTGGAATTATATTTCCATAAAATAAAATCAAAATGATAATTAAAATACACCATATCCTCTTGTATCCTTTCCATTTGTTTTTGAACTCTATAAACACGGAAGTCAGCATGATCTATTCAACAGTATTAGCGTGAACTTGTATGTAATAACTCTAGTGGATTTGGTTTAAAAAACAAAATTCTATCAACCACACATTACAGAACACGGGGAAGTTAATGTGATTAATTAATCTCCAATGGATTTTAAGTTAAAAATGTGCATTCATCAATGTAAATTAATCTGGGGATTGAATTTCATCAGTGTATCTGGAAATTATCATATACATATACCAAGTGATCTAGTATTGTTTTATATCGAGGCATGCTAAAGTGACTCTAATCCCAAATTTTTTATATTCAACATTGATGAGTGATTATTGACACATCTACTAAATTAAACAAAGTGAAGACAGAATTAGTTTACAGTGTAAAACAATGGAATAAAGGACTATATATATATACATTGGATAGCTATAACAAAACGGATCGAGGGAAAAACTGTTAATTAAAAAAAATGTTTACTTAGGAGATAAACATTTCCCATAACCAGTTAGTTAATTAAAATCCACAGAAGTAAATAAGACCGTCTACTATGATGAAGTATATAGAATATTTGGCCAGTTAGGTTTGCTTATTTTCAAACCATGTTGTTTTTCTGCCATTTATAGGATTTCTGTAAATAAGACTCATATCCCTCCAAAAAAGACTGAAATACCTTAATTAATTCTAACTAGATTAAAGTTAAGTAGCTGTGCGTCGGTGGCACAGTGGTTAGAACTCTCGCCGACCATGCACATCGTCCGGGGTTCAAGTCTCTTCCGACGCACACCTGATATCTATGGTCTGCCTGCGAAATTCGCGTTGCTGATATCACATGCTGAAAATTCCAAGCCTATACCAAAAAATACGGTGTGGAATCAAGCTGTAATCAAAAATCAAAATCAAATCAACGGTGTCTTGGTAGAAGAAAAGAGAATTTCGTAACAGAGTAATTTATTGGAAACTCAATACGTAGATGCAGGCAAAATACGTTTAATGAAAACAAAATACGTAGATCAGCGAAGAGTCTCTTTTTGATGGTGAATTCATTTTCTTAGCTTTACAATCGCAAATATATATATATGTGTTATTTTGTATGTATGTGTACATTAAGTTTGTCAAACAAAACGACAATTGATAATGGTTATTTTAACTAAACAGGTTAAGATCAGTTGTTGGAGTTACGTAATACAAAGTCAGTCAAGAAAATTAGGCGTTAATGAAATTAGGGTAATAACAAAGATGATGAGTTGTCACAAACAGTTGTTAAATGAAGTTATGTAATAGTATGAATAGTTTGATGAATAAGTTTTACTCAGGATGCACATAGAAACAAAGTAGATAATACGAAATTACGTAAGAGCTCTAAATGAGTACAAGAATTATAAGCAATTGAAGAACAGGCAAACAAACAAAATTAAGTTATCAGAATCAAATCAAAAAGTTGTTATCATGGTAGTAGAAGTGGTTGAGTAGTTTTCTTTTCTATTCACAGCTCCGTGTTTTCTATGCGAATGACCAGAGCTTCAGAGATACAAAGAAGACGAAACTGTATTGCCTTTGGTAGTTAATTCTTGACTATGTAGATTACTTTGAAGTAAAAGGCGTTTGTTAAGATGGAGTGATCAGTGTTAACCAGGTATTCATTTATCACACTCCTTATAGCACCAATATACCCTTTTCGCCACCATGCTCAATAGTCTTCTTGAATCCTCTTGGACAGGGTGCGTGTCGAACGACCGATGAACCTGGCTCAACAGCAGCCGGTGAACTGGTATATGCACATAGAAGTGGTCAGATGCGGGACCTTATCCTTAAGGTTTCTGCAGATCAGAGGGCTACTGGAGAACACTATTCTTAGCGTTGCTGCAAAGAATGTTCTTCTCAGATATTATGTGATCCTTCTCTTGAGAATATCGCTTGTTAAATCTCCTTTGAAATCCGAGTTCATGTCGAGTTTCTTTTTAGGCGTAGTTAAAGTTTCGTTTCTCCGAATTCTTGATTTGATACTTTTGTGGATGAATCTTATTGGGTATGCATTTTGGATGAAGATTTCTCTCAAAAGATCTAATTATGTTTCCAGAACGTCGGACTGCAGATGTGTGGGATGTGAGTGGCAAGTAATTTAATTAAATTCCACTTTTGTTGAATGGGTACCCAGCAATAGAAGCTTGTTAGTTGGCCATTCCACGTAGGTTTTCTATGGATCGATCTTCTTAGACTCCCATCAGTTCTTCCCGTTAGTTCCACATCAAGAAACGGAGTTTTTGACTCGTTTTTTATTTCAAGAGTAAATTTTATTGCTGGATGGCAACTGTTAAATGTCTTCAGCAGCAGATTGGGATCGTTGTTGTTGTCAGAAATAACAAAAATGTCGTCCACATATCTTTTATACAGTTGCAAATTGTTAATGCTTGGCTTTAGTGGACGTCTCTTGAGGCTTGCCACGAAGCAATCTGATAGTAGTGGACCTAACGGAGATCCCATTGCAATACCATCTTTTTGTCTGTAGAAGGTGTCGTTGAATGTGAACTGAAAGTTCAAAGTGCATCTCAATAGTAATTCCTTCAAATATGTTGTTGGTATTCCAATATTGAGGCGGTTGTCATCTATATATCTGCATATGAAGCAGACCGTTTCCGTGAGTGCGACATTGGCGAAAAATGACTCAATGTGGAATAACAACATAATTTTGTTAGATACATTCATGTCTTGTATGCATTCGACAAACTGAAAGGTATCACGGAGTGAGTGCGTATATAATTGTTCAAGAATATCTGCTAGCCATTTCGCAATAGAGTGGTAAGAGAAACCTGATATATCCAAAATTGGACGAAGTAGGTGACCAACCTTGTGTACCTTTGGTAGACCATAAAGGTATTATTGAACCTGTTGGCCAGATCTGGTCACAGATATCCCCACTGATTAGTTGACTGGCCTTCATTCTCTTCAAGGCGTCTGTGAGTTGCTTCTCAATCTGTTCCATTTTGTTCCTTTCATTGGAAGGTTGGGAAAATTTATCTTCATTCGACAGCATATCGTTCATTTTCTCGATGTAGTCTTTTCAATTCAGAAGCAGTACACCGGCACCCTTGACGGGGCGAGTTATAAGCAGATCTTTGTTATCTTTCGAATGTTTTGATTCTTCTTGGTGCCGCTTTGTTAGGTGGTTGCGGACTTTCGATTTAGTATTCAAGTATTGGTGGCAGCAGTCTATGATTGTTGAATTGAATCTTTGTAATTCGTCTTCAGAAGTTGGGATGAGATCGTTCGTTTGGCTGATTAGATTTTTCAAACTTGAACTGAGTATGAAGTTTGTCGTGTTGGAACTGATGTCGCAGAATTTCGAGCCCATTTACCACATATCAGAACCACACGTTGCACATTTTTTCCGTATTGTGTTTCCTTATCTTCACTTTCATGTTTTCCATGTTGTTTCACAGGCAGTGTTCATTAAATCCAACTTTCCGCCATTTAATATTCTTGCAGTTGATATGCATTATGTCCACATCTACACACTACTAATAAATCTCGTCAGTAGCACACGCCACACCATTCCTTACCAGCTTTTGCTTCCAAATAGCAATTAGAAGACTATAATTTGAACCGCTAAGAAGTATTCATCAAATTAATCAGTAAAAGTGAGACAGAATGAGGATAATACAATCATTTTTTCCCTTCACGTTCCCCATTGGAACATAGGGCCTCAATCTAGTGGCTTGAAGTTTTTGTAACAGTGTTTAATTTTACAGGATGGAGTTGCTAGCCTCATGCCCTTTCCGGCTGGGGATCGAACCCCGGACCATGTGGATGGTCGGTGAGCGTTCTAAGCATTGTGCCACCGACGCACACAGCCATCTTAGCCTTTAAAATTTCTTCAGATTTCTTATATGAAGCTGCTAGATAGAAATAAGACATTTTTGTCTTATTTCCTTGTTATTTACAACAAAACGGGATCAAGTATCCAGATACCAGACAATCAGATCATTTTGTAAGCTTTAAAAGATTCTCAAGGTTTGTTTTAGATGACTGAATAATTATACTATGATACTTTGAAGGTAGATAGGCTGTTACTTTCTCCTAAAAGCAATCGTCTGTGCATAGAAACAAACATCAGGATTTTGAGAAAAAAAATTAACTTGACAATCTAATGAATTATGCATTTCTCTATCTTCAAACTATGTTGCGCTGATTGTCAATTATATCTTATTTAAGGTGTGAGCGTTGTTATAACAGACGCGCAATTTGAATTATTTAGTAGAGTTATTTTTGTTTTTTTCCGTATTTATCACCAACACCAATTTTCACAAAAGTGTGTGTAAAACACTATCGGGTGTTACCCATATGTTTTTAAATGTTTGATGACAGAAATTAAGGGTTACTTGCAACCACAAAATGCAAAACTTAACCACTCTGTACTACTACAATTAGGTTTGTTTACAAAAGCCATACCAGGTTGTGCTCACGCAGTGTAAGGCTGGTTAATAAAGGTTCATTTCCAGTGCGAATTCACTTATACTACCCGTGAATTTGCAGTGAAAGTGATACTAAAAATGTCAGCAAACAAAAAAAAAAATTAGTTAAACCTCTGACTAAAAAATATTTGAGTCAGAAGAAATATCCTTACTATTAGTGGAAAGAGGACTTTACCTTTATTTCTCATATTTTCATCCTGAATGACTTTAGTGCCTTTTTTTGTAGTTAATCTACTGCTGACTTCTTTCAGATTTTCCGATTCATTTCCTTCTTTCGTAGAGTCTATCACTTCAACTCTTTTAGCTTGATATCTTTTCGAACGTTCCAGATTTTTTTCATCATCTTGCTGAAAATCTTCAGGACTTGTATTATTTTTGCCATCATTCAATTGATTGTTGTTACTGTCAGTATTGTAATTTTCACTGTTACTCATATGACCATTGATTTTCATTTCAAAATTTGCCTTATCGCCTAATGAACTGATTCTACCAAATGAAGAATGTGGTAGCGCGGAGATTCCAGTAACCCCAGATTCATTCACTATTGAGGGTGAAAATTTTGACAGACTACTCTTTAACTCAGCCAGCTTGTAGCGAGCGAAACTTTCTGAAACTGCCTCCTCGATAAAATTCTGCAAAACGAAGAAAACACCGAAAATGTTGCGTAAAAATAAACAAGTACCGAAGTTCATTGTTATTCCTGGTGATATTCATTCCATAGGGCAGTAAGCAAGTTACTGAATGAAGTAAACATATAATGCGACATTTTGTTGACAAGCTACTAAGCAAACACCTAGTTGAAACATGAACAAAAAGGCAATTGTGAAAGCTATCACACTTAGCGGAAGCATAAAAAGTAAAAGTCTAAACGCCAAAATTACAAGCGTCAAAAATCATCAACGATAAGATGGCTTTAAAACACATAGACATAAAAAGTGGAAGAAGACAGAATTGTAGCAGTAACATTGGCGTAATACTCAGGCTCTTCCAGGTGACGCAAAATTAATGCTTTCAGTATTCAGTGATCGGTTTCTGACTTAAACGCTGTGATATCGAAAGAAAAAGTGAACGATAAAGAAAGGAATAACTGAACTGGAAAAATAACTAGTGCTCAAAAGCTGAGAAAGGTAATTAAATATGCATACTTTGACTGAGTTCTAGTCATCTTACCAGCATTCTTTAATCATTCTTTTATATGACCAAAAACTTCAGCCTAATAACACAAAAATTCACAAAATTACAATTCAGATTTACTCATTTCTACTGAGATTAGGTGGACGCCTCAACATACTGAACACATGTCCAAGCCACTTTGATCTGCTGAAATCAGCTCTGAGATCAAAATCACTGCAAAACTACAAAAGTATAGTTATTCTCCATCTTATTTAACTCAGCACATGCTTAAGCATGTATCAGTTGAACATTTCCACAACTGCAGTATTTGTGTAACACACAGTCATTCTCTTATATATTCTGCTTGGTAGTATCACAGTAAGAGAGATGATAATGTTTTGTGCATTTATGTTTAACTACAATCGTTTCGTCAAGTTTCCTGAAACATATTAAAAGAAACTTACAGTTAGGTGTTCTAGTGACAACTTGGATAAAATTTGAGAGGCATGAAAATATTCTAAAGCGAATTGGAAATCTTGAATAATTCTTCAACGGAAATATGATGAATTAGGCAAAACAGCTGGAACTGGTGCCATAATCGAAGATGTTTTATACGACTACTGGATAAAAAACTAACATGAAGTCATAATTTAGCATGGAGTTCAAGATTAGCTTTTACATCAATATGCCATTTAAATATTTAGGATAATAAGATACTAAGAAAAATATTCACTCATCTGTTTGTCTTCCTCTTATAAGTACGTGTCATACGGACAAAGGAGAATGAATTGTATACCTTAACATACTGGTAAAGTTTTGAAGATAGACTCGAAAAACATTATTCAACATTGGAGGTTTCAAACTGCATATGCAACAATATTAACAAGGTGGAGAGATAACTGTATTCATCTGCATGTTGAGTATATTTTCAATCGCACAAATGTTATGAAATTTGACCTTAGCAGATTCATTTGTCAGTCAGTATTAGTGTTTTTCTAAATACCCAAACTAGAATCGACCGTTAAAAATAAATCTGCAAAGACAAAATATGATCTTATCGTTGGAACATGACTGAAGGTGATAAACTGTTGCTATTGGATAACTTTGTCCTGAAATAGGGAAGTAGAATAATTTAATAGAATTTTACTATTATCATACTTAATTCATCTGGTTTTCTCAGGGAGAAAATAGCACCCGACTGTCTCGGCACATTTATTCTTGTCACCAGCTAACACAACTGTACAGACCAAGGGAAGTAAAAGACGACTACAGGAGTTAAGTCAATAAAATGGTTTTCTTGCGAAAGTAATTATATATACATAAGGTTTACCACTGACTCTGTGGCGCTAAAATATAGTCGTTTTACCTGACTGAAAACGCTATCATCTTGTGAATCGGTGTCACTCTTTAAAGTGATTCATCGTGAAAGTATGATCATTCTTATAAAGGTAAAATGCGGTCAGTGTGACAAACTTTATTCTTATTTTAGCTTATTTTGGAGATGGAGGCTAGCAGTGGAATCCAGGATGCTCGTTTCGTCCTACTTTGGAATCGTCAGATGGATGTTCCTATATTCCCCTGTAGGTGGTGATGTTCCCAATGAGAATAGAACCCAGTAAACGTCGTTTCAAACGCTATGGCGACACCAACTGTTACTGCAGAAGGCGAAAGATGTATCATTATATGGTGAAATTATGTACACCTTACCTTCAGCACACGATTTACACAGATCTCCCGTGTTTTCCTACTTCTGGCCTTCATACTGTTTCTCTGTGTCCCTTTCACATATCCTATGTATCTCCGCATCGCTGTATCATTTGCTTTCTCTGATATCAAATTTATCTTCCTGCTATCTGATGTTATTATGCCGATGAACATTTCTTTATATACCACTGATAAATCTTATCAGTAGCATACGCCACACGGAGATGGTGACTGGTAGTGGAACCAAAGGTGCGAACTTCGTCAGGTGGATGTACCTGCAATCCCTGTAAGTGATGACATTTCCAATGAGAATCAAACCCAGTAACCGTCGTTACAAACGACAAAGTGTTCTCCACTAGACCACTTGGGCCCCAAGGGCCACCTCTTGTGCAACGGATGTCAGTAACCGTTTGTTTAAATTCAGTTTGGATTTCCCCGTTAACTCAGCGTCCCGCATGCCACCGCTAGTCACCATCCACCAAATTACATCAAGTTAATCTTAAGACAAAGTTAAAACGTCCCTACTAGAAGCCAACAAGTCAACTGAGGCCGAACATTTCGTTCCAATCAATGGAAAAATCGAAAGTGAATTAAAAACAAATAATAATTTTAGCGTGTTTGTTTAACATACCACAGGATGAGTGGTCCGGTAATATGAGCCGTCTAGTGGATATCATTATTTCTCCCTGCTATATTAATTAACGAAAGTCGTTCAGGCTTTAGGTTTTGTTAAATATGCACTCCACGCCACTAAACCATCTAAAATCAGAAAAGTGAAAATTATCCTAATATGACTACAAAGTATTTCTTTTCCAGACTTCGTGTCTACCTTCTGTTATTTATCACCTAGATTCGGTAGGTAATATGCGTCTTACAAAGCTATCAGCCACCATATCACCATGGTGTCACCAATCAATGACAGCTAGTATCCATGTGGCAAACATTTTTAAACGATTATGACATGATCAGAATTTTAGACTTTTCAAGGAGCATTTTCAGTTTTGATAAATTATTCAAATATGGTGGAGGACAAAAATGTATACAGAAGGAATTTTTAGCCAGTCGATACTTCAGTTATGCATAACTGTGTTTAAACTGTTGATAATCCATATACTCCGAATAGCATAACTTTGGGCAGCTAAAATACTAATTATTTAACTGTTTTGCTCAATAAATTTCATCTAGTTGGCACTGAACTCTGTAGCAAACGTAAACTTCTTTCTAAACAATCCATTTTTACTTCGTTGCCAAGTGAAAAAGTCAAGAAAAGATTCCGTCATAAAATAAGGTCAGTTGACGAACTGATGAAGGCCATGGAACACCTACAGTGATTGTCCTCCAAAGATGGACGAACAAAGACTGTTGAACTTGGACAATTGACGTGAGACCTACAGCTGAACAACCGAATCACTTCCACTACATTCAAATTTTAGGACACAGACTTAAAGTTGCTTACGTTACATGACCACCAAGAGTCCTAATAAGATCTATAAACCCGCTAGTTAATATTTAATAGTCCTTTATATAATAAACCTACATTTTAATTTAGTGCTAATATTTTTCTTTATTTGAGAGTTTTGCATACTCATGCAAAATCAATATCTATTTATCATAACATAGAGAAACACGTAAACCTGCGCAGTCTACATAGTTAGGGCGTTAACGCCTTTATCGTTCGTTGCATGTGTGTAATGGAGAACTGAGTAGGAATGTATAATGTACATACGTACATACTAAGGGTAGTGGAAGGGTACACAAATATGCCTACACAGTGAATCCATTTGTCAAAATGTAAATGATGTTGTGGATAATTATGGAAGCAGTATTCTGATTGGCAAACTAAAATTCATCAATAGATATTTTATTAACTAGGAACATCTAAGTGGCAAAATCGTTCGAAATACTCAGGAGGAAGAAGAAAATTTCAAACAGCTTCCAGTGTGACTGTTTTGTGAACAGAAATATGTGTAACCATACTGCCACAGAGTATCTGTCAACCTACACCTACTTTATTAATCACTTTAAGACACTGAGGGAACACAATCCTCAGATCATAAGTATCTCCTCCTGCCTATGATTAGTTAACAAAGAAACAATCACGTGTGTGACTTTCTTACGCCTATCAAATTACACTAAATATCAGTAGTATATGTATATATATTGCTTGATATAAATATATATATGCATATATATATATATATATATGCATATATATATATCAAGCAATACCTATTCATCCCTCTACCTGTGTTATCTGTTTTAAAAGGAATGCGTTTGCTGGTATCCAATGGATACTAAGATAATTTATAAATGTTTCAGTTGAAGTGTATGATAAAAGAGAGGAAAAACATGACCGGAATTAAAGCTAAGACAGTATTTATGATAAAAGGGTAAAACTTTTAAAGTATTTGAGTGGTAGAAAGTAGGGACTCAGACGAGCGGAGTCCTACAGGTAAAGTGTCGGTCAGCAATTTAAAAGTGCAGTTATGCCAAAAAATGCGTCTTTTTTAAAAATAATTTGACATTGGAAGAACAGCTTTTAAGGTATAGATGTCAAAATACAACAAGTTGTAATTGCAGATTATTTAGATAGTTAATCACAGCTATAGCTGTGCATGGTATGAAAACTTAACTAGCCCGAAATCATTTATATAGTCTTATCGCATTAAAGTACGAAGGGGGACTAGAGTCGATTATTTCTGACAAAGCTGATACCAGTACTGAGGAGAAAAGACAATATCAACAGTTTATTAAGTATGTAACACTGTGAACGTTGCGTGAGTAACCTGGTAAAATTATGAGCAATAAATTCTGCTTGAAACGTCATCAGTAAATATTAATACTGTATAACACTGTGAGACTTTGTCAAAATAAAATTGTATCCACAGTGGAACTATTCTCTACCACAGTATACAAATTCTATTCTTATTTCGTGAACGTGCCTTCCATTCACCCATCTACCTACCAATTATGTGATGTCCAATTCCATAATTATTTGGTACCACAAGATTTAAGAATGTAATTATATGTCTCCCTTTCTTAGTGGCCAGTGAATATAAGTCAATGGTTGGGCTATTTTTTAAGACAGTATTGCCACCACCGAAGACAATAACCTAAATATAAGCAGGTTTTAAAAAACCTTTGGCCCACATCAATCCGGACAAGTTCTATCAGAACTGTGTAATTCATTGAGCATCAAAGTTTATAAAAGAGAAGCCAAATAGTTGTGATTTGACCGAAATACTAATTATCTAAGATCTGAAGAATCGTGGTGACAGAATGACGAAACAAAATTGTAAAAACCGGGTATATTTCTGGCCTGGACGATGGTAAAATTTTTAAATCTATTTCTTCCAACCAGTTCCTTTAAACAGACCTACTGGCATATATTTTGATGTGATGACTGCATCCAACTACATCGGGCGGTGTTCTGGTAACCTTCACTTGTGCTAATCGTTACTGATATTACAAGAGATTTGCCAAATACATCTTACAACCTGTAGCGTCCATCAGGAATGTTGATGTAAACCTTCTGATTTTATTTCATTGTAGACATTCTCACGAATGTAAGCTAAGCCGATTTCAATGTCCTAGGAAACGATTTAGTACCATAGAAGGATCCTGGTAGTTACAAATGAAGACACTGGCAAAAAGTTGAGTATTTTGAATGTTTTGAGTACAAATATAAGTATGTCTGTCCTCTGTGCAGCTCGTGTATATCAAGTTTTAAATAGGATCGACTGAGTTTACTGATGGCTGGTTGAACATTTTATTTATATGGGAATTCTCGTCGGACTGACTGCTAACGAAATTCTTGGAAGGATCTACAATTCTGCTTTTGTAATTTCTAAACTGCTTCATGGTTGACGATGTTGTTTTTGTGTAGATTTTCCAGAATTGAGGCAAGTTTAATCGATCACAATTTCGCTCAAAGTTGTACTTTGTTAAATCTCTTAGTCATGCATATATTCATGGAAGTGACTTTGACACTAATTATAACTAAAACAATTAGTCCCTTTGATAAATTTGAACAAGGCATTAAGAAGACAAATTTCGCGAGATGATATCATTTCGTAGTTTCTTTACAACCGCTTTACAACTAACATGGTTAACAATGATAAATAAAGTTCATGAAATTTACTCAGTTAAATAAAAACAAAAGTACATACTAATGACCAATCATATTAAGATAGGTCATGCAGTCCAGGGTAGGCGAAGATTGAAGTCTATTGATTTTTGTACACACTAGGAGAAATGATGGAACGATTCAGCGCTCTATTTTTCGTAAACAAACATGGACTGGACAATATCTTCATTTTACCAGTTTTGTTCCTATCCAGTATAAACGTTCCCTAGTGAAATGTTTGTTCTCAAGGGCCCGAAAAATATGCACGAGTGACACACTGATGGATGAGCTTCGACATGTACATTCAGTTTTATTAGCTAATGGTTATCCGGAGAGCTTTATCACTTGTCACAGCAAAGAAAAACCACATCTCGAAAAGACAGCTTCTGTACCAAAGAAAGCCATCTTTATTAATCTACCATTCAAGGGCGACCAGATTATGCAGTTGACAACTCAAAGACTTCGATCAGCCATCAAACGCACATTCTACGCCGCATCTCTTTTTCTCACTTGCCGAACATTTTCGATCCCTGTTCCTACGATTAAAGAGCGAAATTCTGTGGACTCTACTTCAAACTGTATCTACAAGTTCACCTGCAGCTGCGGTGACACCTATATAGGTAGAACTAACAGAATGTTCCAATGTCGTCGAAAAGAACATATTCCAAAATGGCTAGTAAACCATATCGAAAATCCCAACGCGATTAATCTTAATAGAAATCCAGCATCATCCATTGCAAAACACTTATTAATGTCTGGTCACAAAATAAATATTAATGACTGTTTCACAATTATTTCACATAACTCTAATTCAAGGTTATTGAAGGTGATGGAAGCACTTTGGATTAATCACATACAGCCTAAACTGTGTGTACAAAAATCAATAGACTTCAATCTTCGCCTACCCTGGACTGCATGACCTATCTTAATATGATTGGTCATTAGTATGTACTTTTGTTTTTATTTAACTGAGTAAATTTCATGAACTTTATTTTATCATTGTTAACCATGTTAGTTGTAAAGCGGTTGTAAAGAAACTACGAAATGATATCATCTCGCGAAATTTGTCTTCTTAATGCCTTGTTCAAACTAATTATAACGTGAAGGCCCATTATAAAATTTAGCTACTTCGCATTTTACACTAAATTTCATCATCTTGAAGGTCAATCTAACTCGACGAAGTGAGGTAATTAACCGAGGATTAAAAAAGTTCCTTCTTCTCCTATTTTTACTTTGAACTGTCATTTTACAAGTTGATGAAGTAGAACAGAACAAAATCTTGAGCCGTACATTCTGATGAATGTACTGATGAAATATATTACGTCACCGTACTATAAGAGTTCTATTCAAAAACCACTTGCCATCAAATTCATTGAGAATGAAACCTCATTTCAGTGCACGATATATCGAATTTCTTGACGGCATCTCGTCTAGAGAGTCATTTAAGACTGTTTCACTACCCTGTAATACATGTCAAATAGAGTTACTTGACAGCTGATACACGGTTAAATTTTTAGTACACATCCTAATCATAACCAATCGATAGTCTGTCAAGTGACTATGCTTCAACGAAAAAAACAAGTCAATATACATAAAAAAACACCTTTTCCAAAGCAAGTGCACGTGAAAAACTGACTAAAATTCTCTACAAAAAAGCTACAATTTGACTGGACTATGTTCCCATACTTTCAGGGAAACAGAAGTATGTAGGCTCTATAAAACAACAGATTCAGTCGACTTTATGCTACAAGTAAAGAAGAACAGCCAGCTAGTGAGGGCATATCTATCCTATACAATTCATTTACAAATGACTGATGAGATAAAACTGTGTGTACAGTATACCACCAGAAAGTGTCTAAAAGCGATAGAAACAGAAAAAAACACGAATACAAGACTTTGTTTTACTGCATCTTCCCTCAAACGCAACCAACCAATATCTGTAAATCAATTAGGAGATAAGGGATATAGTAGGAAGAAGTTGAATTAATATTGAACAGAGATCAAGGAGTGCAATAAACTAACGAAAAATGATACCTCACTTAAAACACGGATGTGGTTTGTAATTATCTGCGTCACGTGAATCTGAAACAAGCAATCTACACTTCAAGAGGCGGTTTACACCATCATTCCCGGACTTCAAATATTAGTGTCAGGCTTTGGTCTGGTGAACTTCTGCTATATTTAAATGTGATCCTAATTATGTAGCACAGACCTTTGAGGCAGGTGACGGATGTATGTGGTGTAAGACGTCTTCCGGTTATTTCAAGCAGTAACCGTTCACAGTTTTGCTAATTTATTTATCTTATCTTTACCTATACTTCTTTGGTCATTATCTGTCATGCAACCGAACCTAATACGTGCAGATAGACAGAGGTAACCGTGGCAGAAATCCCCCAGTTTCTTGATGTCTTCTAATTTCTGTGACCTTGTATTACGGCCACATTGAAGAACACAGCCAAGTGATAAGTAGCACAGCAGTCTTTGACGAGTTGTGGTATCTTTTAGAATACTCTCAGATTTTCGAATTCTTATGCCTCCAAAGAGTGAGAAACGATAACTGATAAGCAGTTCAGTGAATACTTAGTGAGTAAGCCCAACTAAAATGTAATATCCATTAGCTATTCATATTTCAGTTATTGTAAAAGGATAACCAAAAGACTTTCCCCTAAAAAGCTCTAGCCAGTTAAATAAATTTCAGTAAGATCAACATAAGTTAAGCATACCTTCATAATGAGAAAGAATGCCTGGTCTGTTTTATCAGGTAAATTGTTTTCCAGCTCATTTCTCGTCCATGAAGAGTCTAAATATTTGTCGGATTCCACAGTAACGTGTTCTGCAGGATTTTTCTTCATGCAGCCATTGGATAGCAATGCGGACGGTGTGAAACGTTTACCACGAGGCGGTATACGTGGACCTATGAGGAAAGTATCAATAGAAAGTATTTTATTATCGTGTATAGGTAAACTTCTTGTTGAATGAACATCCTAATTCGCGAAATATGAGGTATTCAAAAACGCCAAGTGAATTGGCTACATTGTTTATATAGACTTTATCGGTAGATCCTATATTATGTTTGGAATTTGAATACAGCATAAGATGCAACCACTGTCCACATAAACTGTGCACTAACATATCAATTTCAATGTCCTTCAAACTTTGGTACATCCTCGTATTAATTTTGATCAAGGTTTGATCTAATGGTTTTAGAGATAAACAGTGTCAAGTGAAAGATGGTCACTTATAAGATGATATCTACGGATGACATTACACAATAAATGCAGGAAAACAGTGCATTGGAACGGGAATAGTCTTATTTAATATTCACGTGTCTATGGGCTTTCAGACCACAGATACTCATTATTTCACTTAAGATGATTGCTCTGCAGTCGACAACGGATTGTTTGGCCTCTATCTTATAAACTACAAGGATAAAGAAACCTATCTCACACTGTGACACTCAAAATAATTGATACCTGAGTCTCGCCGGTGATTCGTCTTTGCCGTCTAGTCAAACCACGAGGTTCCCAGATTCATCTTGATTTTAACAGACATTTGGTTTTCAAACAGGCTGATGTTGGATGATGGGCGGCTGCGGAGTAGTTGTAGGCTGACTGGACTACTCTTCGAAGTGCTTTTGCTAATACTTTAACCCTCTTTTTCGATAATTTCGGGTAGTTTCACTTATCACAGCCAAATTCCCTTATAAGCAGAAAACGCTACAAGGATATTATTGAACATCAATACCTTTTTAATTTTTTTCACTCTCACTATCCATCATTACTTGTGGTTGTTGTAAAGACTTTTAGTAGGCTTCTGTTTTACTCCGCGTCATAGGGATCAGTTTCCTTGCATTGCAGTTATTTCATATGGGACCATAGAAATCGACTGACCTTTGTGAATATTCAGTCTCAGGCTACTACACTGCTGTTCTTTTAGTGGTTATTGAAACAACAACTAAACTATGTAGACGTTTTTAAGGCGAAATAGTCAATCATTTAGCAGCATACTAAGAAGACACATGAAATTTAAGTTTTCGTGATAGCATCTCTGTGCAGACTGTAAAAACCTATAAGTTTGTTCGCCTTTTGTCCTTCAGTACATAGTTTATTGAATGTACGCAATCGTGATGGAGTTTTGTTAATAGTACTAATAAAAAAACAGTTTCACAGTAATTTAATAGAATTTCTAGTTAAGTTTAAAAATTGAGAACTGTCGTGGAGTATGACTGTGTGTTAGTTTTATTTATGATGTGACAACAGGGTCGTACCATTCACTGTCTTAATTATTTAGTGAAAGTGGTGATATTTGATTTACGCCAAACGATGATGTAATCTAAGAGTGTTTTTCTTTCTGTGATTATTTCATCGACATTCAACATTGAATAAGCAATTGATACGACAATATTTGAATTCGCCTACATTATACGTTCCAGTCAGGATAAATAATACTCATTTTAAACTATAAACTTATGATTATATACATTTTGATAGTTATGATTTTACTTATGGTAATTTTAAAGTACATGAAATATTCTACAAGTGACTATACTTTCGTGTATTTTTGACTAATGAATTTATATCAGTGCCAGAATGAATGCACTTACCATTACTTAATTTAACTTCCGAAGGGCCAACAGATAAGCATCGTTCACTTGGATCCTGTAAAATGTAAAATGATAAGGTAACATGTTAACATTAAATGTGACAGTTAAACAGTGACAGTCTACGAATAACTTATGGATATTGTTTTTCAGGTAGCACTGGTGTCTGATATGTCTTATCTGAAGTCCGAAATGTATAAGCACTTAGACATTATGTGGTTTCATTCCTCTCTGGGGTACATGTATAGTCAAATTACTGATTTTTATTGATTTTTCTTAATTCTTATTCCCTTTTTACATTCTTGCATTACCTTATTCCTGTGCTGCTGCAGATTGTGTCACCGCTTATATCTGGTGGGGATATAAGAGAAGCATTCGGGCATAATTTCATCCCATCGATTCTACTTATTATATACTACCACTGCTGAAGAGTGCAGGCAACTTTGTTCCTACATATTTCATTCTGCATTGTTAGGTATTAACCATACTGGATTTCATAAACGTGTTATCTTTAATCTTAGACATTCTTAGAATAAAAAAAACTACCATTATCAGTTTCCTAGGAAGATATTTCCATGGTTTTGTGACTCTTCCACCACTAACTGAATCTAAAATGGTGCAAAACGTTCAGCTATAGACAGTGAAAGCGATTGTGATTTTTTAAAAATCCAAAACAAATTTTGGTCTAATATTCCACTTTTTAAACAAAAGCCACTGAATCAAACCTCAGTCCCTGGAAATTATCACACACTGTTATCTAAATTTCCTACAGGAAGATGGTAGACGCAAACCTTAAAGCAACTGAAATATGCTCTTCATCATGGTAAGAGAAACAAGATGTTCAGGTTTCTTTTCACTTCCAAATAGTATTCTTATTCCACTGAACAGAAGATAAGTATGTGGACCTTATTTTGAAGAGAAACAGCACTGATTTCAATGGGTTGGCTTAATCATTACAATGACAACAAGGGAATTTATTTATTTATTATATGTTTGGTAGAAGATAAGTGACTTACAACAAAATACTAATTAACTAGCAACACAGAAGAAGAAGATTGAGTAATTATATACGAGGAAGCATTTGAAAGCGACTTGAAATCAGTTGAGACTGGTGGATCGAAAATAATAATAATAATGGGTGATTATGCAATAAGTTGAACAGTTGTTACTAGGATAAAGTGAGATTAATCACTTATTCTTCCAGAATACACAGGTTGGATTTTAGTCGCTTGATAGCAACAAATTCAGTAAGCTGAAGTTAGATTTCTCTGCTTGCTGATAATGGGAAATACCGTTGATTTGACCACTTTATATGCTTATTCCATCAGATGCCCGGTAGTTCCACTGATAAGACATTGGGGATCTCAGGGGCACAGGCTTTTGGAATATGTTCGATGATGCCAGTAGATGCCCATCTTTCTTTCCCTGGAATGAATTTTCTCTGGCAAACATGTGTGAATTTGTAAAAACAATAAGTGACTTCCGATGGACACCTGTACACTTCTGACTGATAAAGATCATTAATAGAGCTATGTACAGGAACAATTTCCGTTGTTAAAATTTACCTGACATTTAAAACAAGATGTCTACCCATTCGTCAATACAGTTTAAGAGACTTACAGTTTTAGACAATTGCTTGTCTGCATATGGTCATTTTATATGCATACAACTCTGAATTTATTACTGTTAGCCGAAATGCAATTAAAATTATGTGCTGAAGTTGGAGACTTAAGTACGTATTCTAACTTTTTCAGTCAGTAAGACTGAAAAACTCATTTGAAACACTGCTGATACGCTACACAACTGCTAACGTCTATGCCATGGTCCTGTTTTGAAGAGACAGCTGCTCTCTCCACATGACACGTGAACTGTCTGGATTTTTCTGTGTTTTGCTGCAAAAACAGTTTCATTTTTTACCGGACTACTGCCTGTTAGACAGTAACGATAACAGTATGTTAGCACACACAGCTGGTGATTTCGTCTGGGGCCTGTCACATACTATAAGAATCTTTGTCAAGCATCACAATCCTTCAATATTATCTATGTGAAGAATTCAGTCCTTTTTGATAGGTGTTTTTTTTCTACACTTCTGTATCCTTTCTATTCACAGTTAACAAATGTGACTAACAGTGCACTATTTTAGGTTGCCAAACTATTTGTAAACACTTTGTGGGCACTAATTCCTATTCAAGAAAATTGCTACTCAAAGTCTTCTTGCATTCATTATAATCAATAGTCATAAATTTGAAACTCAATAAAATCTTTACAGAATCTCCTTACAGTCTAAAGTAGTCATTTGAAAATGTATAACACACGTCACAGATTATACGTCTAATTATGTAATACCTTATGCGGTTGATAGCCATTAACATCAACCGTGATTTCTTTTTCGTTAATTCTATCTTTTCTCCCAGGGACAGTCATTTCTAACTCTGTTTGTAACCTTTCTGTAAAGGAAGAAAATATAAAAAACAGGCATATATCATACATATTTCAGTAACTAATTAGCGAATAGGAATTATTACAGATAGGTAAGTGGGAAAAATAGTGCCAAGGTAGAACTTGTTTTGCAGTGAGCAAATTTATTAATTATGTAAATAATGAATAATTAATCCACTAAACTAATCTAGTCAGTGTGGTGTTAAAAATATACGAAATATTGTTTTATTTATAGTTACACAGGTCTTACTACCTATTTTTAATAGTGATTTCAGGACAACTTCCTATCTTGAACAGTGTAGTGGTAAATGAGTAGTTCTAGTCACTTCCTGTTGGTAACGAAGTAAAGTTTCGGTAGACAAACCGTTATCGGGTGAGACCTAGACAGAAATTAACAAAATGAAGTCACTCTATGCTGGATTTCTGAATCGTAGACGATATTTTTCTCTACACTGTGTGCCTGTACAGTTTCGGCACGAGCTAGGGGACAGGAGTATTTTTCGCTTACTTTATTTCTTATCTTTTGAAATATTTCTACATTGCAGAGTGTATGGGGTTTGTTCTAGTTATAATTTTTTCTTTAAAATTCCTTACCAAAGAAGCTTGTAACAAGTAAAAGAAGATTTGTGTGCACTGAGCCATGAGTCATAACTCTATTAGCTGAGGAGTTACTCATATAAGTTTCAAACCTTTCACTTACTTGGTTTACGTCAAGCGCTGAAATGAATGAATGGAGCCTATTTTAAAATATATTTTATCAATAAATACTAGTAATCATTATAACCAAGTTCACTGCTTCCTACTGATTCAGCCTAAGTAGTAAACCACAAAATCATGTACACCACTTACGATTTACATCTTAAGCCAGCAGTGAGACAGCTTAAAAATGTTTGCCATATACGACACTTTCTTTAATAATTTGAACTACTTTTCGATAGCCTTGTGATGCTATTAGTCACAGGTACCTAAAATCAATTGGATGCATTTCTTCTTACCTAAACTTATGCATACTCGAGCTTTACTTTTTTATTTATCAAGACGCTTATGGTATATCGCATATTTTAGAGTTACTCTGGACGCTTATAAGGGGATATTATACCTTCTGCAAATCTTTAGTAGAACACGTTTAGGCTTAGCTGATCAAAATTAGAATTTCAATAATCATTTGAAGCAGTGTAACTCAAAAGCTTAAGTGAGTTGGATACAGCTGTCTCTCTAACCAGTTGAAAGGGAACTTTCTGACATTGATTGTTATTGTTGTTGTTATTTTCTGCTTCTGCTTTCATTTTGTAAAAATGTTTAAGGAATGAGTCATTTTCAAAGTAATTTAGTTACTGGTTAAAAAGATCTGCTAGGGCACGTACACCCACACACATACTAACAAGACAATGCCTTACATCCGGTATCAGCAAGTATTAAAAAAAATCAATGCTCTGTGGCAGTTAAGGTTTCTTAATTTCTTCATATCCAGCTGAGTATGTCATTCAAAACTGGTTAAAAAACTGGTATGATAAATCCCTCTAGGTCACTCAACCCAACCCAACCCAATCAGTAAATTCACTTCGCCTTTAGGAAGAGAGAGAAGTTTATTAAAAGAACAGCTCAGTGATTTACTTCATACGATATAACTCCAATATAGTAGAAGAGTGAAATTAAAGTTCTCGAGGAGAAACATGACAGTTTCAACTGCAGCAATAACTAGCCTGATAGAAAGTTAGCATTCAATTAGCAACAATGTTTTCCAACAATGGTTCATTGACAGAAGCAGAAATGAAAACGTGTTATGGGTCGGGCCCAACTATTGCATTCAGAGACTTTTTGCTCAAACAGGTCACTCTATCGGAATGAATTTCTTTCCGATCAAATAAAGGCTTCACATGGTATCAGTATTTAAAAAGGGATATTGACCAATTTTTAAAATGTAATGAATATGTTACTAGCAGTTCCATTCTAAGCGATACAACATTAGTTACTGAATGATGTATTTTATCATTCCTAAACTGCAGCAACTGGACGTTAGAATGGTCTTCACGGATAATGATAACAGGACAAGACTTTATGGAACACCTCTATTACACTAGATGAAAAGTTTCACAGTTGTGTAATATGTATAATCTATGACAGTCATTGGCTGCACGATGCAACAAGCAATCCATGGCAAGAATACCAGGGAAATCCATTCAGAAAAGACTATTGATCAGATAAGCATTACTAATAAAGTTAGAATAATACATAACTTCTTATAAATTGTCCTTATCATAAGCGCAACACTGAAGTCATGTGAGGAATATTCTGGTATGATAAACATTATCATTCAGTATGCAGAATTATTTTAAAACACTGCTTAATCTTATGGATTAATATATGATTATTTTAAAATGTAGATTATTTCCCGACTTTTACACTGCTTGGAATACCGATTATATACATATGATGTGCAGTCATAGAATGAAGGACTGTGATAAAAATGACTGCTGTAACTGACGACAAGAAACCGGATAGTGAAAAGTTCTTTTGACTATGAAGTTCACTGATTTCTTTAGCTGGCTATATTTAGCAGTCTATAATTCGTCTTTATTTGGGTTTTGGTCGTTACAGTTCTAAGATGGCCGTAGCCGAGTTGAGGGAGAGACATGAATTAGAATTTTGAGAGTTTCTAGATGAACAGAAGTCATAAATGATACATCTCCAAAAAGAGCTGGGTGTGTTTAAATTAAAATATTAGTGGGATTTTATGCTCCAGTAATGGATAGGGAATTGCATGAACAAGGTAGCAAAAAATATTAAAATGAAAACTAAGTGTATCCCTGAAAGAAGTAATATGTTTGGTAGCTGCAAACACGGGGAAGGTATAATACTGTTATCTTTTACAGTCAGCCTAGAGCTGTCGAAAGTGAAATCTGTCTGTTTGTCTGTTTTCGACATAGAACTTTGCACAAATGTGCGGAAGTTCAAGTCGCCACATTCCGTGTAGCACGCGAAGCAAGAGAAGAAAGTACAAGAAAAGCATAATAGAAACAGTGAGCAGAGGTGTGAGACAAAGGAGTAATAAAGAAATACAAAACAGTTTCATTGAAGATCATAAGTCACAGGGAGTGGATGCATCTGCGCCACTGAGAACGATTTTGAGCCATGTCACCAATTGTTTCCAACCATAGATTTTTACCGTCCCGAGGACCCCAGCCTGGAAGTCTACACCTTCCTACGTGGCTTAGACCAACTGTTGTGGATTTCATTGACTGATGCCAAGTTTTTGTTTGACCGCCGCTAGCTTTTTTCCAGCCTGACCCTATATCCGCTAACATTGCTCGTCGAGGGAGGCGATGGCTTGGCATACGTAACACATGTCCTAACCATCTCAGTCTTTGTAGCTTCACGACTTCGTCGATTGATTTCCCCTGTTTACCTAGAACTCTACGCCTAACCTCCATGTTGCTCACCTTATTATGCCACTTTACACGGGAAATAGAACGCAGGCACCTATGATCAAAGACAGCTAGTCTTTTCATGTCTTCCACTCTCAGTGGCCAGGTCTCACAACCATAAAGGAGGACGGAGCGGACTGATGAGCAGTACACCCGCCCTTTGGTCGATAGTCGAACATCTCGTCTACGCCAGAGTCGGCGTAAACTAACAAATGCGAAACGAGCCCCTTGTATTCGTGCTGAGATTTCGTCAGAGATCAGCCCGTTGGCGTGGCTGATGGTACTTCCCAAATAAGTGAAGCGGTCAACGTGCTCTACCACTTCACTTCCTATTTTTAAACTAGGCGTCGATGTAGTCCAGTCCTGTAACATCATCTTGCATTTGGCGGGAGCGAATCGCATGCCAAACATTCGTAGATTGCGGCTCAAGGTGTTTAGAAGACTCTGCATTTCGTCAGCGTCTTCGCCTAGAAGGACTATATCGTCTGCATATTCCAAGTCAACGAGATTATTCCCCGGTAGCAAGTCAATCCCTGAGTCGCTGAAGTCACCTAGGGTTAAGTCCATTAACACATCTATGATGAAGTTGAATAGAAAAGGAGATAATGGGCATCCTTGACGGACACCACTGGTCGTCATCAGTTCAGATGACAGCTCGCCGTAAGCCCTCACCTGGCTGTATGAGTACGAGTAGAGTGCCTTAATCAGTGCAATATATTTTCTCGGAATTCCCTTTACAGCCAAGCATCTCCAGAGAACTTCCCGATCGACAGAGTCGAATGCTGCCTTTAGGTCAAGAAATATAATGACTGTTGGACGCCGGTAGGAATGCCTATGTTCTAGAATCTGTCGGAGGGTGAAGATATGATCAATACACCCTCTTCCTGGTCTAAAGCCTGCCTGGCTCTCTCGTGTTTGTGCTTCCCGAGCACCACTCAGTCTACGCATGATTATTGAGCCTAAGACTTTAGATACTATATTAGTCAAGCTAATCCCTCTGTGATTATCACAGGAAGACTTGTCTCCCTTCTTGTATATGGGGATAATCAGTGACTTACACCAACCCGATGGGACTTCTTCTGATTCCCAGACGCTGCCTAGTACCTCAGTTAATCCGGACAGTAAGCTGTCTCCACCGTACTTAAATACCTCTGGAGTCATTCCATCAGGTCCCGCTGCTTTGCCTAGTTTCAGATTGGTGACAGCTTTAGTAACCTCAGTTAGTGACGGAGGACCTGTGTCTATATCCCATTCAGGGAGGTGTTGGATGCTCGGAAGGTTGAGCGTGGCTGTGGGCAAATTAAACTGCTCCTCATAATGCTCTTTCCAACGATCCAGTCGTCTATCCTGGGAGCTAATTATAGTGCCATTTTTTTCCGAGATTGTCTCACTGATGATTTGTCTTCTCCCACCCGTTTCCCTGATGAGTCCAAAGAGTTGCCTGGTGTTGCCTATCCTCGAAGCTTTCTCCATCTCTTTGGCTTTTGTCGCCCACCACTGTTCACGGTCCTTGCGGAGACTTTTCGTAAGTTTCCTCTTGTGCAGCTTTCGCTCCTCATTGAATTCGGAGCTCGCCGGAATAA